TGACTTGCTCTGATCTGACTTTGTCAGGTGGGTCTGATTGTGTTCATGGCTCTGATTGGCTCAGACGTGCCCGCGAAGGAGGCAGAGATCGGTCTGGTGGATGGCATTTTTACCCGCATGCAGAGCAGAGAGTCTGTGTCTGTTGGCCTCAGCACCTTTATGATAGACCTCAACCAGGTAACTAACACACACACACACACACATACACACACACAGAAACACACACAAGCAATGTGTGTGGGTGTGGAAATAAAAGATATGAACTTCCAGCACTACTGTCCTCCAGCTCCACTCCTACTCTCCACCTGTCAAGACATTTTTTTATAAAGAAACTACTGCCTACAGCTATAAAACTCACACACACACACACACACACACACACAAAATATAACAAAATGCAGTGTAACACTCTGTGTCTCTATTCTCCAGATGGCCCAGGCTCTCAACAGCAGTACTGGCAACTCATTAGTTCTCATCGATGAATTTGGAAAGGGAACTAACACAGTAAGAAGAACTTGTTCCAGCGATTTGTGAATGAAATCCATATGTATACACATAACAAGGACACACAGTGTCATTAATATGAAGCGCCTGAAACTTATTCCAGCCAATATTATCTAATTTAGAGCTGCAGCACGAACAGACCTCCAGTTCAGCCCAACATGTGCCACCTATCAGCAAGAAAACAGCAGCAGCTGTTCAGATTTGCAGATACAGAGGTGTTGATGTGCGCCATCTATAGGCAACAGCAGTGACAATGCAGTTCTAAAACTTGTGCAACCTGCAGGCAAAGACTGCTGTTTTCCATGTAGTTTCATATATGCTTTTTTTTACATTTGATGTTTTAGTTTTAGCAACTGCTGGATACTCAGAGTCTGCTCTGAGTATCATTATGTTCTCTGTCCTCCATCACTGTCTGCCAGGTTCCTCTGGAGAGGGAAGAAGAGGGTCCAAACTAATTTTTTTTGTCCAAAAAAGAAATGCAGGTGTGGGAGGCAGAGGCCAGAAGAAAACAATAAAAGAAAATTACCAACGTAGGTTGAATGGGTTTCGTTAAATTATTTAAAGGGGCTATAAACCCACTGTACAATACCTGCTCAGCACCAAACAGCAGGCAGAAACAGTTAGCAACTAGCTGGGGAACATAGTGGAGCATTTAGGAGCTTAAGACCCACATATTTCCCTCAGGAGTTGGAAGAGACCTAAAAAAGCTACGACAGAGTGAGTAGTCAGTTGGCCAAAAACATGATTTCTAATGACTTCTATAATGATATTGCTCTGTCACTGCTGGATATGTAAATAGGCAACTGACTGCTAACAAATTTACAATATCAAGTTAAAAGGTATATTTTTAATTATCATTAATATAAAAAAAATCTGCTTTAGGGTTATTCAAGTATGGTGTTTTACAGCCACAAACCAAACTGTACTTCTGTTTAATCTAAATATTATTAGTAATATCTGCTGGAGGTAAGAGTGACACAGTGCTAAATGTAAAACCCCAAAAGTGCAACAGCTTAAAAACAACAGCTCTAAAAAAAATGTAAGAAACTGCATCTGTAACACTTTTAACTGCAGGTGGTGTGTGTGTGTTCAAATTTAGGCAGTTGTTGCTTCCCTTGCCTGTGGGTGGTGACATGCCAGAGAACTGCAAGGCCTGGTTCTTTTGTTGCACGCCCCACCCTTTGTCTTTCCCCATATTTACAATCTATCTTTCTGTCATCAGAAATAAGTGCTAAATGCCTCCCAAAGAGGATCTTAGCATGGTCACACATCCACAAAGTTAACTTTGCTGGATATTCACCTCCAGTTCACTTCCATTCAGTGCAAGGACGAATGCAGGGATGAATAAAACATTTGCTTCCAATGGCAGAGCAAAGCTAAATCTACTCATTGTGTAGAGTTGAACTTTGACCGGTGAAGATGCCGCCTCAACCAATAGCCGAGAAGTATGTGTGGAGAAGACAGTGATTGTTGCTGTGTCTAACCACAGACTGTAAAAATAATGGAAGTAGCCACCTGTGATGTCCCCCATTGGTTTAAGGACTGCTGTTTTGAACCCTTGAGTTTGGCATTTCGGATGTCGCCATTTTGTTTTTTGTAGCCAGAAGTGATAATGTTTGGGCACAAGGCTGGCGCTGTGGAGGAGCGATAGGTGGCAGACAGCCTGTCACTCAGAGAGGCCTTAATAAAATGTAGAAGGGTGACCTATGTAAAAATTCCCCTCCTGTACAGTTGTCATGAAGGGGAAATTAACCATAGAGACCAAAACCATTTTTGTACCAGGCTTTAAACATGTTTATTTCTGCTGTAAAGTCCACTGGCTTCTGGAGCCAGCCTCAAGTGGCCGTTCAAAGAACTGCAGTTTTTTGGCACTTGGTGTTGTCTTCATTTTTCAGTACCAGAGGCTGCTGGTTGTGTTTAACCAGCTGGTATTGTATGATATTGGCAATGAAAAATAAAACCTGCCATAGGTGACAGATGCTGCCTGGCTGGCAGTGAGACAGACATGGCACTTAAGAAAATGGAAAATGTAACATCATTTCGTGGTAGTCATTAGCAAGATTGCTTTCCTTGTCCGTCACAAATCTGCTGATTGAAACTGCTGCTGCTTTCTCTTCCTGTTGGTGGTCCAGGTGGGTGTACAATGATGGAACAGCTCCCCCTTGAGAGATTGTGCAAAAGTTTTAGTGTAAACATAGAAACTTTGATTTTGTCTTTTTGAGAAGAATTAAAATAGACAATGATTACAGAAACAGAGAATTTCTATTCTTGTGTGAATGTGATACTTGTATTCGTCACTAGCATCAGTTAACATTTGTTTTTTGTAATACTGTTGCTCAATCACAAATAACAGGGACATCTGTTGGGTGGACCTTTTCATCCACAGAACAATAGACAGGAATGTTAATTGGTTTATTTGTAGCAACAACTCAATCTCAGGCTGTTAAGGGTTTATGTAAAGAGCTTAACCTGAATTAAGACCGAACAGTTTGACCCATGGGAGCTTCATCCATGTGCACAAACACAGCTGACTGTGTAATGTTCCCCTTCAGGTGGATGGACTGTCCTTGCTGGCTGCATCAATCTCTCATTGGCTGAGGAAACCTCTGGTGGATGTTCCTCATGTCCTGTTGGCTACTAACTTCCACAGTCTGCTGCAGCTGGGTTTGCTCCCCTCCTCTGGCCTGCTGTGTCTTCTGGTACTGAGAGACACTCGACTGCACAGTGATGAAATGTAGCCCGGAGCATTTTGTGAGCGTTCACTGAGGTTTCATGATGGAAAAACGAATGTACTGCAGAAAAAATGTTGACAGCAAAACTTCCAAATGATCATCCAGCTAATGAGACCTCATTAGAAGTTTATTTTATTGTGTATGTGAGTGTGTTGTGTTGTGTGGTTGTGTATTATTGCGTGTGTCTGTGTTAGACTCTAGAGACCGCAGTGGACGGGGATGAGTTGGTGTTTCTGTACCACCTGAAGGAAGGAATCTGCCAGTCCAGCTATGCTGCCAACATCGCTACACTGGCAGGCCTGCCAACCAGCCTCGTGCAGAGAGGAGTGGAGGTAAACACAAACACACGCACACACACACACACACACACACACAACCACACAGGTTTCCTACACAGTAAGGAGTAGTATGAAATTTGAGAGTATGAAAAAATATTTGTGTTTTCATTTATTTTGTTTTCTAAAATATAAAATTCTGAATTTCTTAAAAAATATCTTGCCCATACAAGCAGAGTGTTTTTCATGGTGTTTGGAGCAGGCAACCAGTGCAGCCAAAATGTTTACCACTGTGTGAGAGAGCACAGGCCAGAGCGAGCCTGATGTTGTCAGAATCAACGCAAGAAGTATGGCATGCATCTTAACACAGTCTGCAAACCAGCTCTACCCCAAATGCCTTATAACTGAACCAAATCCAAGCATCAGTGCCCAAATTAGTTTGAAATTATTGAAACAAATAACCATAATATTAAGTTTGTCTTAGTGTGTCTTAGGTAGGCAGTGATTTAGACTGTTCTGCATAAGGAAACCTTTATGACTGCGCTCATCGTTGTTGTGTGAATAAACAGGACTGCACTGACGCTGTGAAAATTTAAATATTTAAAGGTTCTATTGATGAGATTTTGAACATGATATAGCAGCAAACCACTATTTGCTATGTAAAAATAAAGTGGAGTAATGTAATCTGTGTTTTGTAATCTGAGCTTCTGTTTTGGTCGCTGGCTAGCCAAGCTTGTATCTTATTTCTTGTAAGTCTGGTTAGCTGAAAATGCGCTCCTGACCCATGGTGGCGGGACGGTATTGTCACGGAAGCATTACACACTGCTAGCCACCGCCATTTTGGCTCAGCGACCCTTCATGTTTGCCTGTGATGTCAGAGGTGAGAGCCGTGTGCAGCCAATACCAGCCCAGGCTATGAATGTCACGTAGAGCACCTTCAGATGTTTTGATTCATTTTCAGTTCCTATTTATAAGAGAGACTAAAAATAGGGGGAGGGGACAATAATATAATAATAATTATTCAAAATGTTTAAGGAAAATAATAAAAGTATTTGTAGCGTTGGTTAGTTGACTCGTCCAACTTTCTGCATACGAGTATGGACTGAACGGCTGCAATAGGTAAATGCACATTTTCAGAGGGCTTGCTGGTTATTTGTCAAATATCGTCTGAAAAACCTACTGAGAAGTCTGGAAATTTGAGACTGGAAATGGAAAATGTGTAGGAACCCCGCACACACAGAGATACAAAGAAGCATGCTCACATTGACTGCCTGTGTGTGTGTTTGGTCAGGTGTCTGAACTGTACCGGACAGGACGGCTAATTGAACGCATCGACAAGGCGTCATCAGATGAGCAGGCAAACAGGTTTGTTAAACTCCATCAACACAAAACAACAAAGAAAACCAACACAAGAGAGCAGAGTTTGTGAAACAGATGTGTCTGTGTGACTGACAGGTGCAGGTCTGTGGTGGAGATGTTCTTGAGCCTTGACCTGGACGGCAAAGATTTGGACCTTCAGCACTTCATGAAGGAAGAGCTCCTGCCCTCTGCTGGGGAGCTGCTGAGCCGCAGCTGAACTGTTGTGCTGCAAACGTGTCTACAGATCTGTGGTCAGTTCACTCGTTCACTATCGGATGTTTTCAGCTGGTTTATTTATTGTACTGCATGTGTTCCAGGCGTTTATGTTTAGCAAAAGTGTCAGTTCTGTTCAATATGGTACAAACAGATTTGCTCCTTGGCTGAATTAAAGTCTTTCTAAATATGTTTATCCCATAATTATCTAATTAGTGTTTCCTAATTCAGTAGTCAGCTGCACAGTACAAAAATTCCACAAAGCTGGTGATTTTTTTTCCCACCATATGGTTGAAGTCCTTTCAGCATCACTTCAGTGTTTCTCTTTTTGTTCTGACAACATAAATAAATAAATGCAGGTTGTTCATCGTGAGCCCGTTGAGGCTTCAGTGAGGTGCCAGGTAGTTAGCACAGCCACAGTGAGACACAGAAGTGTGGCGATTGAAAGTCTGTGTGCCGAGTTGCAGAAGGGGGTGTCGCAGCAGTGTTTGGTCATGACAAAGATGGTGTTGTTAGAGAAGAGCTCCACTGTGGTCTCCACTCCGCACTCGTCTGCTTTCACACAACCCAGAGTCTTAACGTCCAGACTATCAGCTGTGGAGACAAGATGATGTTATTCAGTGTAACCTTTACACTACTTCTAATGCTTAGATATTAGTTAACAGTAGAAATACAGTCTTATTCAACACACCTGCCTTCCCTCGGCCCGTGTAACAGCGCTCCCCGGCGCTGCAGTTGGTTTCGGTTGTGTAGCAGGCATCCCAGAATCCCAGGTCACAACGGAAACACTCTAGAAGCTCCTCTTCCTCAAATCCCATCGACTCCATGAGCTGCTGTGGTTGCTCCTTCTCCTCACCTGAGCCAGAGAAACAGGAGAGTTTGATACAGGCTACATCCACACTAATACATTCTTGTTTTATAACTTTATAACGTGTAAGCCTGGAGTCCACACTACTCCGGCATTTTGGAACTTTTAAAATCGCTGCTGACCTGGTTTTAGTTTGAAAACTCCAGGGCTGCTAGGTTGACATATCTGTCATGATAACATCCTTCTAGTCGGGGTACTTCCTTTCCATTACAGTGACTTCCTGCAGTAACGGCAAATGCTGCCGGTACTGCTCTAATATGTCACCGAATTTGCTTTGTAACAATTCCCAATCTGTTTTCCGCCACCTTAACCCCATTCTGCTCATGATACTTTTAGTAACAGTTCCAGCTTGTTGTCAGCCCAAGCGAAGAAATCTCTGGTCTTACTTTGCGCCATCTCCATGGTATTTTCTGTAACTGAGCAACCAACCGCAGACAGTAGAGTAGATAAACTGCATACCCAGTGTGCCCGAGGGGTCGTGTAATATGTTTTCAGTCGCTTTGAGGCTCATTTATTCTCTTTTACGTATGAAAATAGATACAGTCATTTCAAAAGATATGACCGTCACGGCCCACATACTTCCATGTGTCCTTCATGTTGGCATAGATTCATCTGTTAGATGGCACTCGAGGGTAGAGTCAAAAGTTTACAACAACAACAGTCAAGGCAACAGTGGAGGAGGTTGTGATAATGTATCAGCCAGCATTGTAAAAGGCGGTTGTTTGTGAGGCCATCGGGACACGTGGACGGAGAATTCTTCTCACTGTATTACAAATTGCACAACTTTTTAAATGTCTTTGTCATGTCCTACAGTCATAGCTTGCTTGGACTATGCTACACTGTCCACATGATTGTCAGTGGTCAGAAAATGTGCACAGATATGGACGAAATGAATATGGACTAAAAGCTCCATCCAGGTCCATATACGAATCTGACATTAAGCACAAATGAGCCATTAACATGAACAGAGATATTTTTCTGAAACGGTACTGAAACACTTTTGTTTATGGAGTTTGTTTTCATTTCAAAACACAATTTAAAAGGAAAATGTCTCAGTGTGGATGTGGCCACAGTTAAGGTTTACTGGTATTAATTTTGAACAAACATGTTGACAAAGGATACAGTGTCTAACAACGAGATAACTGAAAAACATACATCAACTTTACTATCAAAATTATGTCGACTGTAATAGGTAAAACTGATTTTTTGTGAATTGACATTTCTGTAAAGGTACATTATGCAGGATTGTCCCAAAAAACAATGAATAGACTCATACAGAAGTAATCCAATTATCACTTATGACAAACTATGGTGTATTTATCTGCAGAGACTCTGCCCTCTGCCAGTATTTTTTTAATTTCTGTGCTTGTAACGTTTATGGGCGTGTACCCCCACAGCACTCAGGTGAGGTCAGGGCTCTATAAAAAGGAACCAGACTGAAAGCAGCAGGCATTCAAGAGACACAGCGCAGAGAAAAACACAAATATATTGAGGCGAAGCACCAAAAGAGAGTGAATCTGGGGTTGGTTTTTACTTTCAGTTTTGCTGCTGAGCTTGTTTGCAAACAGTATCACACAATCCTGCGTAGTATACCTTTAAGCAGACAAGTCACACTGAGCTAGGAAACTTTTTTTGCAAGAAAAGCAAGCGACAGCAGGATAAACCGTTACACAGACAATCAAGCTAAGAACAGAGAACACTTATTAACAGTTTAATGGATGAAAAACATTGAATTATTCAGATTTGGAGGCATTTACGTAATGTGTTGTTGGACACGTTTATTATTCAGGGGGTGCTGAGAGTGTGAAGGTGTTGGAGCGCTGTCGAAGGGCATCAAGCCAAACTGATGATCCACATTCTGCTGAGCACTCGAGCATCTCAGAAATATTTTGTTTATTCTGCAGCAGTCTGGAATTTGTTTCTCTGAGTGGATGACTTGTCTGTTTCAGGGAGGGCTCCACGTCTTAGGGCAACATCGTGTTTTTATTAACCAGACAGATACTGGAATTAATAGAAAGAGTTGGCAGCAGAACGCAGTGCAGGAGTGGGACAAATCCTCAGTTATTCCTAACACACTGTACTGCACAATCCCTCAAACTTGTGTCACACATTAGCTCTTGAAGTGCAGAGAGGCTTTTTCCTAAAGTAAGTGACTTATTGGCAGTGGGAAGTACGTGACTGAGCAGAAAGTTTTCTAACTGTTCATCAAATGTGGCTGTAAATCCCCTTAAAGTTTGACTCTTCATTTTAAGCTCATATTAAGTGTGCCATTATATATTCAAATAACTGTACGGACAGCATATTTGGATACAAAAACCTGATTACCCAGGTAGTTTTGGAGGTCAGCGCATCGTTGTGTGAGATTTAGCTCTATAGAGGTCACTGTCAGAGTATATCCAGTTGCCAAAAGGTTGGCTTCAGTGTTGCTACAGGATGCTGCTGTTGCTGGAAAAGGACTAATCCCCTCCTCAGGGCCATAAGATGAGTCTCAGTGAGAGTCACAATCCTTATCCCCTCTCATCTTGTTAGCTAGTGATGGCTTAGTGGAACGAGCAGACAAAAGAGTAGTGAGGCGGGGTTCATTGTGAGGAGAGCACAGGCTGACTAAATTTGTACTCAGTTGCCAGTTTATTAGGTAAACCTAACCAGTGCAGTCTTATGCAACCGTCTTGCAATATATCCTCTCATCGTGATCATGTCATCATGCTCAGTTTGTAAGAGAGGTGTTGTGGACGTTTGTGTAGTTGTAATATTTTCTTCACCCGATTTATATCGATGAGGGTAGATTAAACTGCAGCCACCAAAAACTGTTTTAACAAAAGCTGAATATTATAACCTGCATGAAGTTAGGAATTATTGCAGAGCTGCGACGCCTGATTGATTAGTCGATCGACAGAAAATGTAGCGACAACTATTCTGATAGTAACTTTATCTTTTGAGTCTTTTTACCCCCAAATTTTGATGATCCCTGCAGCTTCTCAACTTTTTTTGTTGTTGTACATCGCAATAAATCGAATAGTTTGGAGTTTTAGGCAAAACTAGATATTAAAAGATGTCACCTTGGATTCTGGGAACTGGGAGGGACTTTTGCACCTTATTGTTATCTTAGACTTTTACATTTGCACGGCTGCTGCACATCAGTTTCCCTCGAGATAAATAAAGTTTTATCATAGCCTATTGATCAAATGATTAATAAAATAATGAAGAATAGGATCTGCAGATTAATCCTTAATAATCAGTAGCTGCAGCTCTCATTCATTAAATTAAATAAAGTGGGAGTTGTTGATATTTCACAAATCAAGAAGGCTAATAATTTGATATCAACATTAATTAAGTAAATTATTCATTATCTAATCACTCTTTACAGGGTAAAACGTTAAAGTTTTAGTCGTGACATTGTCGAAGAACAGAAGACGATGTTTAACTACATCTACTATGACCAGAGGCACTACGTCATCTTACCTCGAGCAGGTGTGAGCATCATGATGGCCAAAACACACAATATTAGTCCTTTCATTGTGAGCGGGATCCTTCTTCCATTGACTGCACCATGTGGACTGCTGAGGAGAGCCGATAGCAGAGTTGAAATTGGATTAGATCAGGAATACACCTGCTGTTTATCGTGCACTGATCACAGCTGCTCAGAGGCTGAAGATGATCAAACAACACAAGGTTTTGAGGGAAAGCTGCAAATTAGAAAACTCAGGAGCGGTGGAATGTGGCCACCAGAGAGATTTTACGTCTCCTTAAATGCCAGAAAAATGTCATTTGGTTTATTAGCTTGTTTTAACAGAGGATACACTGTGAATGTTACATATAGAACCTCAAGGTTCATCCCTCTGTTTTTATGAAATACTGAATGCCAGATGTGGACAAAGGTTAAAACTCCTTAGTGGTGGAAACATTTCTCCATAAAGCTGATGCGTCTCACTTTTATTACAAAGACTTCTTAACTGAATCCCACTTCCTGCTGTAACAGGTTAAGCATGTACGTTAAAAAACCACACACACACTTCTTTAAACTGGCATCTTCCTTATCCTCAGTCACACACATCTTTTATACCAAAAAATGTTGATCATAGCTCCTCTCTCTCTTAAGGAACAGAGAAATTGCTTGTGTCCTGAGTCAGCGCAGGGTTAAGCAGCTTACAGCCTCCCGTCCATCTGCTTAGATATGTATCGACAAACACATTCATCTCACAGAGGAGGGGATTCGATTCAGTTACATTCCCGATGCAGCAAAAAAGAACGTGCGGTGCTGAATTATGTAACAATGCTCTCGCACACTCACACTCACTGATGCACACATGAGGACCCTCAAAGGTTTCTTGTATTCTGTGTGTCTGCAGTGCTGCAGCTGCACGTGTAGAGATCCTGAAATCCCTTCTGGTCAGTTTGGAGTCAGATTCAAAGGGGTTTTACATCTGAATTTAATCTCAACATCAGGATCGATGCCTGGTAGAACAAACTAGGCCTGTACATTAACATGACACAGGAGTAAATCTGTTCCTGGTGCTGACAGAGCTGAAATGATTAGTCGATTAATCATTTGAGTGATTTCTTAAGGAACAACGTTGGTACCTTTGAGTTTTTGACTGGAAAAAACAATCAATTTGAAGCAATTTAAAGACTTGTGATGACATTTTTCGCTATTTTTCTGACAACTTTATAATTATTTTGTAGGCTGTTGTTTGTGGTGATGGTATTTATATTTTTTAGCCTACCTTCACTGATATAAATGGGATGGACAACATAATAGAAACACTGTCAACTACAAACTGCAGCCTGCAAAATGACCACACAGTTGAATCCAAGAGCCTTGTTTGCAATTATTCCTTTAATGCAGTTAATGCCCTCCCGAATAATTAACTCCCGATCTCGAGATAACAAAGTTTTCTCATGATAGCAGGTTAATTCGATATTCTCAAGAAAACAAAAAGCCAATTTCTCGAGTTAACGAGATAATTTGTCCTAAGAAAATTACTTATCTTCTCAAGATCACGGGAGAAGTGAGATGTTCATGAAAACGTGATCTTGAGAAAAAAGGTGTTTTCTAATTATAAAATTTCTCGTTATCTCGAGAAATCTGTCTTGTTTTCTCGAAAATCGACATAGAGTAACACTGTCATGAGAAAAAAGCTACCTGCTACAGACAGAGCTGAAACGGATGGCTAATTAATCATTTGAATATTTTTTTTAGCAATGGTAATGAAAAATAAAGATGTCTTGCTTTGATCTAAAAGTAAACTCTTAAGATTTTGGCTGTTCGGACAATGCAGTTATCTTGAAGTCGTGAGTCATGAGCTCGTTTTCTCATGATAACGAGTTAAATTATGTAGATTCTCAAAAAACCAAAAGGCAGATAAAGAGATAATTTATCTCTAGAGAACTGAAAGTGAGCTGTCTTTTTTTGGTCTCGAGAAAAAGTGGTTTTCTCCTGATGAATTATCTGGTTATCTTGAGAAATCTACCTTTTGTTTTTATCCAAAATCGACACAGATTAACACACGCTTTGTTTTCTATCTCCAGATAATGGCAGTGAGAAAAAAAAGCAAGCAGGGCCGTTTTCAGCTTCCGTACACTGACTGTTGAATTAGACTGCATTAGTTCAAACTGGCTGTACCTCATAAACTGGCAGTTTATTGGAGACAAAAAGATTTGACAGTAATCTTGAAAATAATCCGCAGATTAATCAGCACTAATCTTTGGTCGCCGCTCTAACATTCAGCATCTTTCTGTCTGAATGTAAATACATCAGAGCATCTCTCACAGCCAGAAGGACTCGTGTATGTGTGAGAGCGAGGAGAGAGCTGCTTTTCTGAGCAGTAAGTGTGAAGGAGGCTGCTTGCAGCTTGTTGCATGATTCAGTGAAAAATCAGACACATCTCCCTGTCGACCTGCTACTGAAATATACATTCAGCATCTTAAAACAGCATAATGTATGTACGTGTGCGTGAGAGTGAGATGAGTGCTCGTTTAAGTGAGTAAAATGTGCGGCTGGAAATTACTGTACACTTCAGTCTCGGTCCTCATCTGGATGGCAGGATCCCAGCATGGGCCTGAACAACAAGGAAATACTCTGCGGTGCTAAAGCACCTATAAAAACTTTCAGACTGATCCCCTGTGTAATTAGAGGCTGGAGGAGAAAATGCTGGCGATAATTAAAATCCTACCCCCTTTACCTCTCAAACATGCTCACTTTAGCTTAATTGGACCCGGTAACATTTTACTCTGCATTGTTTTGCTCTGTTTTGCGGAAGCCAGGGATCGAGATGGAGGACGGGGTGTTTGAATAAAGCGTAGGAATTGGATGATGAAGTGAGAGGAGATGAAAGGTCGGGATGGTGGGAGAGAAAGCGACTCATAGGAGCGCTTTCTCAGTTAAGCTGCGTCAGGAATAACTCAGAACAGCCTCACCAGATTTTGCTTTTTTTTTTTTTGGTCAGTCAATGCTCTTTTCTTTCTTTCCACCATCTGATTGAAATTCTTTAAGATCTCGCTTCATCACACTCGAGAAAAGAATAAAACTGAGCAGCTGACAGTGTGATTTAAAAAAAAAAGTTGAATTACAGTGAAAACTGGAGTCCACGCTCGCATGTGTACAAAGCAGCAGCTGGTATTTATAGCGTGGCTGTAGGTGTCGAGTGAGAGGAGTGTGGCCTCGTGTGCTTCTCTTGTTTATAGCGAGACACAATTTCCTCAGATAAAGAGTAGATTACAGTATGTGTGAGATTAGATAAAGACTCATTTAAAACCTAATCTGGCTCATCCTCTTAACAAAGCTCTCCAGCAAAGGAAATGTAGACCCTGCACCTCTGCATGTGTGTGTGTAAGAGAGAGGAGTGAGCGTCCATCTCTCAGTACGGCACCCAAGTAAGTTTTCAGCAATCCTCCTCAGGTCCAAATATGGTCAAACAAGCAGTGGCTTTAGGGATTTGGGGCATGGTTGAGTTCAAAGACAACAAGATGGCGAGTTGACATCAGACGGCATAGCTCCAATCTTTCAAACGTGGGTGAGTCAGAGAACGTTGTAGGACAAAAACACCCTTCACAGACAGTGACTCAGAGCCACTGCGCCACTCGGAGGCACTAAAACATACCAACAAACATTTCACTTGTTTATTGAGGAATGCATAGTCTTGTCTTAAGTGTGTGTCTGCACGTGAAACTTCCAGATGAATCTCATCATGCATATTTTATGAGACAAGTTGAACCAGCGGGGGGTTCACTGTTGAGGAATGCCTGTTCGTATGTTGAAGTTAATTTCACTGGAGTTGCAAGAGTCTGAGTAGACGGAGTGAGAGATGGACGGGCAGGGGGAGGGAGGGTGAGGAGTTGGCTCCTGGTGGTGCAGAACTCGGGCCAGCAGGGTTGATCTTCCCTCCTTCTCCTCCTCCTCCTCCTCTCCATCTCTACCTCCTGCATCCGTAGGAGGCGGCGGCGACGATGGCCTGCTGCTGGTGTTGTGCGTGTTCCTGTGAGGTGAAGGAAGTGGAGGATCACAGTTCTGGGTTGAGAGGGGGAGTGTGTGGGTCGGAGCCGCCCAGGATCCCTGCTCTCTATCTTTATGCTCCCACTGCTCCTGACAACTGAAGCTGGGCTGATCTTGCGAATCCTCCCAGCCGTCTCCTCCCTTCAGATCCTCAAGGTCATCTCGCCTGAGGACTTCCAGATCCCGGTTCTCGTACAGCAGTGTGGCGGCGCAGATGAAGATGAACAGGCCCACTCCCATGACCGCGGGCCCAGCCAGCTTCATCCTATCAATGTGGGTCTTGCCTCGGCTGTCCATGACTGGCTTTGGTGCTGCAGATACGTAGCCGGCCACTGCAACAGCCATCCCCACCAAAACCACCATTACACCCAACAGCAGCCACACGCCTGGCGCAGAGCTCAGGTGCAGCTTGGTCTTGAGGGCTTTGCCTTTCTTCAGGTGTCTCCTGCATGTTGGGAGGCAAGCGGGTGATGACTGGGAGGAGTGGGAGGAGGCGGGGCTGCAGACAGGACTGGCTTCTGTCATCCTCTGGCTTCACACTGGACAGAGAGAAGACAGGAAAGAGCAGAAATACAAGAATTAAGTAACCAAGTGTTGCATGCAGCACCAGAGGGAGAGCGCTGGGGGTGTTGGAGAGAAGATAGTTTGCTCTGCATTGCACACAACAGGAAATAGCTGCTTTAATAAGACATGTGGCAGAGTTAATGAGATGCCAACCTCTCTGCAGCTCCTCCAGTGTCTCTGTGGAGCCACAGAGACTCTCTCCAGTCTCTCTACTCTACCCTGCAGCAGCTTCCCTGAACCCGGACTGAACTGCTATCAAACCGCTCATTCATCATCATGGGAATAAATACAAGTGACCCCTTTCAAGACCTTGTGATTTCACTTCACAGTCTCACTGCAGTCATGAAAACAGTCCCATTACTACGGTTATTGCTCCAACTGAACTCATGATTTCATTCCTCCCGGAGCGAGTGAACACAACGGGCGATTCAACAGGACGCACACGTTGGTGATAAATACAGTTTTTTGAGTGCTTTTACGCATGCATCTTTCATGGTATATTGTAATTCACGTTGCGCTACAGCACTGTTGCTGCCCACAGTAATTCACCGCAGTTTACTGTCCGGTTACTTTAACGCAGTCCATGTATAATCAGATTGAGTACTTGCCTTGTTTTGGACGCAAATCCGAAGCAGAAACTGGCTCCTCGGCATCATCAAGATGAATACCCCTGAGTTGCGTTATTCCTCCCACTCCTGCGTGTGTTAAATCCAGACTTTCACCGTATTCCTCCTCACATGAAGACGGTTTTCTTTATGCGTTTCTTGACTGTGTGAGTCAGTGTGCAGCTCAACAGCGAGCACTGCGGAGCCTGAAATGAAGCTTTTATAGTAAATACCAATCTAACTAAAAGTGGTGCAAAGCCGCTCTGCCTCTCCGTGTCCTCGCTGCTTGTGCGCCTCTGCAGCCTGCCTGTGTTTTGATTTGTGTGTGTGTGTGTGTGTGTGTGTGTGTGTGTGTGTGTGTGTGTGTGGGGGTGTGTGTGTAGAGGAGGGGTCGTGGGAATCTGTGGCTGGTCCAGGCCAGTCCCACGGTGAGCCCAGTTATTCTCAGTGATCACCAGCCATCTATTTATCTCCTTAACAACAATACACTTGACATTTTTATTAATACTTTCAAACACATAATGTGCAGGTTTATTTTCAGACAGCCAATATGATTTCATTCAGCTCTGCATGGTCTGAAAATCACTTAGCAGATGCTTGAATTTTGCTTAAAGGGGGAACGCAGATTTTAAAGTCAGTTCAAAGTCTTGGGGAGTAACACTGCATCAGTGGAAAATAAAAAAAAGTTGTAAAAAACCTTTTGTGGCTCCAGAGCACAGGCTGTAAAAGATAATGGACGTAGCCACCATGACGTCACCCACTGGTTTGTTGACTGCCATTTTGAAGCAAGAATCCAGTAACAGCGCAGGGCTTTCGAACAAATTTTTCATAGTGGCCAAAAGTGGAACTTCACTGGTCTTGTTGGTCGCGAGGTGCCATTGGGCCCCAAAATACTTTTCCCCATAGACTTACATTGTGATAGAGACGTTGTAAATAGTGGAGCAATTGTTTTTGAATGTCTCAGTCCAATAACATTTTGAAAGTCTAGACGAGTCGCACATTTCACAGTCATTCATGTTTGCAGAGGGCTATTATGGAAGTTAGCCGCTCAGTTGTGCTCGGCTGCCATACATCTCTAGTGTGCTTGCTCTATGGGCCTCACAATACGAAAGATCTAGGTAATTTTTATACCGCATACATTGAGCTTTTTTGGCTCCATACGCCACTGAGCACCTTTTATAGGAATGAACAGGGGCACGCCTCCAACACTGTATCCAGTTCTCTTTATAGATCCATTTTTTGAAGTCTCAAATTCTGCATTTTAGCTGTTGCCATCTTGGATTTTTGGAGCCAGCAGTGACCACATTTGGACAAGAGTGTAGTGCTAACCCAAACCCAACTAGCTTTGTTCGCATGGTGCATTTATAGCCACGGTTAACTGTGATTATGCTAATGCTAACTTTTGCTAGTAAAAAAAAGGCTTAAAAAAAATTAAAACAAATTGTATTTACCAGAAAAACAGAACACAGACTCGTTAGCAGATTTTTTAGTACAACCAAATGCTGAACAAGACTTATTTAGGCCTAACCAACGCTGTCATCTTGGTAGCCTCAAATTAGCCACAGCCCAAACATGCAACCATGTAAGCTTTAATCAGATGTTATTGGGTGAGTTATATAAAAATCCATCCTCTCTACAGTTGTCATGATTATTGAAATTAGCTAGAGACTGAAACCATTTCTTGTACCAGGCTGTAAACATGTTTATTTCTGCTGTAAAGTTGAGCATTTTAACATGAGTGTCTATAGGGACTGACTCGCCTCTAGAGCCAGCCTAAAGGGGCCTTCCAAGGAACTGTATTTTTTGGCACTTGTGCATTTTTTAGCCCCGGAGGTTGCTGTCTGCTCCAGAGGGAACTGCATGATGACGCCTGCTAAATTACATGGAGTAGTGTCACTTAGTAGAGTCAGTGTTGTTGGGCCTGAAGACTACAAGTTTGACAGTGAAAAGGATTTGTGGATGGGGAGTTAGAAAGAGGAGAGCTCACCAGACCTCGGACTGTAGCCCGCTTTTCATCTCTGCCCGAGGCGCGTGGCTCGAGGCTGCGTTACCCAACTACGGTTGCATTGCATTGCAGTTAATGCAGTTTTGACAAGAGAAGAAGAATGTGTGGAATGAAAAAAGACGACATCTCTGCGTCTTCTGCATCAATTTTTTATTATTTCAAACTGTCTGAGTCTGACAGTGGCAGTGTGGCATGGTGCATTATCCTGCTGGGGGGCCACTGCCATTGGGGAGTGCTGTTGCCATGAGGGGGGTTCTTGGTCCACAACAAAATAATCAAAGTTATTCACTTCACCTGTCAGTGGTTTTAATGTTTTGGCTTATCAGTGTATATTTCAATTACTGCCTAGAGTGGAGAACACTTTTAAGTTGTAAAATCCATAGCAGTGCTCACAAAATGTGTGTGACATGGTTTCATTTACTACATTCTGGCTCACGTCTATCTGGGCCATTTTTGGTAGCCATGGCACAGTTTCAATGGCAACAGGTGTCACTTGGACCAGATTTGGGCCAACAGCTATGGCCCATACCACTTGTCTGCATTAATGTGACTTCTAGCTCATTGCATAGAGAACAGGTGTAACAAATACACAGCATGGTGGTTTTAGGGTGAGCAGCAGCCAGCTGTTAGCCAGATACGGCCCACACAGCACTCTGGTTTGTTGCCTGTTTGCATGTGGGTCATCACGTATAAGCAGTACACAACCAGCCAGTTTGAGGGTTGCAACCACATTGCAACATCCTGTCCCCAACAAATTTACAGAAAATGTGGGTTACAACGCTGAGGTAGCTACAGTTCAATGTTTAGAGCTATCTGTTTAAACAAAACATACAGCTCCGGAGCTTCGTGCTGCTATGACTCTATGCACATACGCTCTGATGTTGACAGCTGAGTAAACCTCCTCATCCATTTTTAATACAGATGAACATTCTGGGAAATGTTAGTAAACTGACCTTGAGTTTGATTTTTTTCCTCAAACTAAATGTGGTGGAGGAAGTATTCGGATTATTTACTTTAGTAAATGTACCAAAACAACAATCTAAAAATACTCCATTGCAAGTAAAAGACCTGTATTCAAAATTTTACTCCAGTAAAAATACTTAAGTATTATTTGCAAAATTTCCTTTAAGTATCAAAAGTAAAAGAACTGCTTCTGCAGTGTGACTGATAAATTATCATATGACATCATTAGATTGTTAATACTGACGATGCATTACTGTGTTGGGAGCATTTTACTGTGTTTAGCTGCTGGGTTGGAGCTACTTTTAATTACTTTATATACACTCACTGGCCACTTTATTAAGTACACCTGTTCAAGTGCTCATTAATGCAAATAGCTAATCAGCCAATCACATGGCAGCAACTCAATGCATTAAGGCATGTAGACATGGTGAAGATGACCTGCTGAAGTTCAAACCGAGAAATGGTTGTTGGTGTCAGAAGGGCTGGTCTGAGTATTTACTGGGATTTTCACACACAACCATCTCTAGGGTTTACAGAGGATGGTCCCAGAAAGAGACAATATCCAGTGAGCAGCAGTTCTCTGGGTTAAAATGCCTTGTTGATGCCAGAGGTCAGAGGAGAATGGCCAGACTGGTTCAAGATGATAGAAAGGCAACAGGAACTCAAATAACCACCCTTGTTTCCAGCACCTTGTTGAATCTATGCCACAAAGAATCAAGGCAGTTCTGAAAGCAAAAAGGGGGCCAACATGGTACTATCAAGGTTCCCCTCATAAAGTGGCTGGTTAGTGTATAGTTAGGTGGTGAAGTCTAGTAGCTGTCAACCTAGAAGTCAGAGCACATCTAAGGGGTCATATATCGAGGAGAGTTGTGAGATGATTAATTCAACATTCATGTGGTGTCGGAAAAGTTGTAAAAATTTGGAACAACAACTCGGAAAGTTAGTGAAAATCTTCGTAAACAGGAAGCTGAGTTGATGTCATATATGTTTGGTTGATTGGAATTACCTTTTTATTAATTCACATATGCATGTCAATTTTTTGGTAAGGATGGAATGAGCTGCACCTTAATAAACTATCCAATCTTAATCTTCTTCTCTGGTGCAGAAGTCAGAGAAATGTCACAATGTGACAAAGGAAGACTCGCACACAGAGCAAAAGAAGATTCAGACTGAAGTCTGGATTTAAAAACTTTGTATTTTACATGTTGCAGGGCTGCACAGACAGTGAAAAAATGTGCAAATGTGCATAAAGTGCATTTTGGCCCATGTTTGACTTTCCTCAGTGCAAAATGGACTGAATCATTTGCACTTTATGCACATTTGCACATTATTTACCTGTCTGTGCAGCCCTGCAACATGTAAAATAGAGATTTTGGAAATCCAGCCTTCAGTCTGAATCTGTTTTTCTTCTGTGTGCGAGCCTTCCTTTGCTACATTGTCAGTTATTTGCTCACATGTAATTTGTAATATGGTATCAGATTGTAACCGTTAGTTGCTGTCCACGTAGAGGGACCTAGATTAAACAGTTGATTTGATCTTATAAATTGTGTTGTAAAGCGTGTACGATGTTACTTTCCACCTCTCACTTTGATGTTTAACTTTGAAGCCAACACGGACAAGATGTCCTTCAGTACAAGAGATGTAAATTAAACTTTAAGAGCTACTTAATCTTCATTATAACTAAAGAAACTCCATCTGCTGCTGAAGTCTGTGATACTCTTAAAGCTCCAGAACAAAAGCTGTGGACCTTGAGTTGTTTTGTCAAACTACTGTACCTCAGAAATGCATTAAAGGGACAGTTCACCCCCAAATCAAACATACATATTTGTCCTCTTACCTGTAGTGCTGTTTATCAGTCTAGATTGTTTTGGTGTGAGTTGCTGAGTGTTGGCAGTATCGGCCACAGAGATGTCTGCCTTCTCTCCAGTATAATGGAACTAGATGGCACTTGGCTTGTGGTGCTCAAAGAAAAAACTCAGTTACCTGGTTACTCAAGATGGTCCACAGACCTTGACGTGAGCAGTTTGAGTAGTATTGGACAGTTTGATAAGTAATCAGGGGGAATCTGAACTGGGGTTTGCTGTGTAGCCAGAGACATAGCACCTAATTCTGGGCTCCAGCAGCACGACCAGTGTCTCACTCAGCGCCAGCTGCATTTTGAGACGAATCCTAGTGCAGGGGCAGACTAAAACATTTTGCAGCTTTAAAGGGAAACTTCACCCTATTTCAAAATTCATACGTTATTCCTGTGGTCTCAGACAGTCCACAAAAATATTAGAAAAATCGGACAACTCTCTGCCAAAGCCAAAAGCTACAGTGCTAAAACTCAAATTTGTGATGTCATAGGGTATCACGTCTAGAGCTGCTTCCAACTGGTCCAGCACCAGGGTCCAGATTTCTCCTTAGTCATTGGTTCAAAGTCCACACTTTAATATATTTAGCATCATGCATGTGTAGCTGTCCATTAGTCACTCACTCTACAGCAGGAAACGGCACTTCAAAATAAAAGCTCTGTGCTGGAAATTCACTGTACTTAAACATAAAGTGTGTTTTTTACAAACTTGACATGTTTATGAGTCACTTGAGGTCCATTCAGAATGGACCCACGACCAACCAGTTAGGAACCACTGTTCTAGATGAGATTGAAAGCACCCAGGGGAATGTTCTGAGTATATGGGAACATTTTTTATGTCAGAACTGAGAACACTACAACAGAATAAAGCTCATTTAAGTATTTAAAAAATCTTTCTTTGGGTCCACAAAATCAGGCTCCCATTTATTGACTATGGAGCAGCTCCAGACTTTACACATGATGACATCACAAGTTTAAGACGTACCTCTCTGGTGCCTGGCTTTGAGAGAGAGCAGCTCAAGTTCACAAATATTGATTGAACTTCCCTAGGCCATGGGAATAATATATTAGAATTCTGAGGTGGTGTTCCCCTTTAAGCTTGAGAGGGTCCTCAGAGAGCTTCCACCATTTTGAACTGGATTGTTTAGACAGTTTTAATTTAGTTAAGGCCAGCAATTAGTTAAATTGCAAACAAAACCACTTTTTATTCCATGTTTTTCGAGGCCTCCCCTCCCTCCCGTTGGGGCCCTGTGTACTACATCGCTCCTGTCAACATTTAACACTTGAGGGCGTAGCTTGTGAGCTCCTGTTGCACTGGGCTGATGTGTTTCTTTGCCTTGTTCATCCATTATGGGACTGCGTGATTCATAGTGTTGCTGGGTATAATAATCAACCTGTTTCTTCCTCTATGAAGCTGACTCTGGAGTGTATATGCCTTAACGGCATCTGAATCTGTTGTCTGAGGCTGGGGTTTTCTCCACAGTGGGATTTATTTCCTGTGTACTGAACTACACCCACCAACCGAATCACTGCGTAGAAGGAAGTGTGCATCTACTGCTTGGTCACCTAGTGAGGTAGCTACAGCTCGAGCACGAGCCTCTCGTCCATGAACAGATTCACACTTCCTTCTGCACGCTGATATAGTTGGTGGGTGTAGTTTGGTTGAAAGAAAATAGTTCCTACACGAAACTGCTCACAGCAAGATCTGTGGATTATCTTGAATAAGCCGCTCCATCAACTCTGGCTCTATGAAACTGAAGAGAAGGCGGACATGTCTACGGCCGATATCGCCAACACTCGGAAGCTCATGCCAGAAAAAATCTAGATTCATAAAAAGCCAGTAGGAGGGAGAATATTTTGGGGTGAACTGTTCCTTTAAGTACTTCCTGAGTGAATGTGTTTTCCACTTGCGTAAATAAATAAATAAAAACAGGTACAGATAAAGACCGCAGTTACAGATTATCTGTGCATGTGTGTGTGTGTGTGTGTGATGACTGAGGTTAAATGAGGACGGCAGACAGTGTGCATCTCATTTATTTTCACCCATTCACACATTTTCCATCAAACAGCCGCAGCTTGCCTCGGAGCCAAAAACAGCGTACCATTCCCCTTTAAATTAGAATACATAAATAAAAGCAGTTTGCATTTACACAGACACTGACAATGTTTCGCTTCCTCTTTTTTTTTTCTCAAAATCTTTGTATGAATTGAGGCTCGTAGTTTCCAGTCCACTGTCACAATGTCCTTCCCTGTGGACAGATGTCAAGCCTTTGCATAACCAAGCAGGAGTAAACTCTGTTAGGGAGGGAGGGAGGACAGTCCTGTTGTAGCTGTATATTATTTACATTATGAATGACAGGTTATTTTAAACCAAACAAAAGATATCAACAAAACAACTAAAAGCTGTTGTTTTAAACATTCATATCCATGTGCCGTTCCAAACGAGAAAGCAGAGAGAGAAGAACAGAGCTGTTTCGTTGTCTTGTTCCACCTTAAAAGACTGCACGTTTCCTTGATTTAACATTTAGCCCTTAGCCCTGCTCGTCACGAAACAATCCTCTGACCAGAAAAGGAAAACACACGCAGGCTGGTGGGAAATTGCACCCTCATTTCTCAAACACTCTTAGTCACATTTGCACACACAAACACACACACAAAGTCTTTACCATCCCCCATTCAATCTAAGCTCCAGCCAACTCCAATTTAATCAAACTCCTTTGCCTTCGGGCCTGTGGAGCGGCCCACTCGCGCCATCTACAGGCTGAACTACATAGTGCTTCTGCTCCACTGGGTTTCACATTTTTAAAAACCTCTCGCCACCTCACGATTGTATTTTGCAGCTTAAAAAAAAAGTATCTGTTGCCTGGTAAAATGCAACAAAGCACAAACGCTCTTGTTCCATCTGCTCTGAGCTCAAGCACCATTACAGTTCAAATAAAACAGGAAACGCAACAGAATCATGACACTAGATCCAATCCATAATCTGTACAATATTAAGAAGCATTGAAGGTGCCTGTAGTTCTTTTTTTTTTTAAATGATTCGGTAAACAAACACGATATAAGTCAAGGAATCCTCATGTAAAACTCTCCCTCAGGGTGATCTGTACTGTCCATCATGGAGAGAGGAGGGAGAGAGAGAGGAGGGAGAGGGAGAGGGGGGAGGGATGGACGTTTGTAGAGATGATGGCTTCCACTTGTTTCGTGTAGCTGCACTGTTGCAGAGCTCGACACATGAAAACTGTTCTGGCTGATTTTATCAAAATGTCTTTAGCTGAGTGTTGATGAAACCAGTGAAGAGGGAGCGATTCCTCCTGAGAGTCCGGTCTTACTCTTCGTCTGCGTTCTTCAACATGAGGATGGAGTTGTAAATCTTCAGGGCAGGTCCTAGCTTGATGGACAGGATCTTGACGATGTCCGCTTGGGTGAGCAGCAGAAAGGCCTCGCCATCGATTTGCTACAAAGAGAAGGAAAATGTTTTGCTCCATATCACTGTGGTCTACAGACTAGAGGACTTTGAACACCAAACTGACATCAAAGAACTAGTGGTGATTAAACAGACTGTCCTGTCGCCTGTGTCTTGGCCAAAAAATTGCAGTTGAACACACTGTGAGGCATACAGCCATTCAAAAAAAGGAAATCCAGAAAACTGACAGGACAGATACAAGACGCTAGTGTTGAAAGAACAAATGATATTTACCGTGCGCTTGTGAACAATAACACAATTACAAACTGTTTCAGCTAAAGAGCTCAATGGCTAAGAAAAAACAATCTTACTATAACATGTTTCGATCTCATGCCCTTTAAAGTTTAGCCATATGTTTGCTCTCCTCACTTTTGTTTCTCTTCTTCTGCAGTGAGTTTAGCAGCCAGTCAGAGTAATGTGGGATTTATACTTCTGGGTCAAATCGATGCCATTCCTAAGACCATAGCCATAGCCTGACATGCACCTCCCCAGAAATGTAACTACACATTGCGGTGATGCAGACTTCCTGTCTATTTTGGTAAGCTGAAACCGTTTCCCTCAATGGAAACAAAGCTTTTATTTACTTTAATTTCACAGATAAGAAACAATAAATTGTGAAGACAATAAAGCCTCCACAAAAATAGCATTTTAAATCTTGTGTGTGATTTATCCTGGCTTCATATGAGTAGAGGGAATCTCTGCTCGTCGCTAGGCTAATTTATACAATGTAAAAGGCCATAGGCTTGTGCTAATCATGTTGTATTTGTTTGGAAAACGTGTTAAGTATAAGACAGTTGTTTTGTCGGTGAACCTTGTGAGTTGTAATGGAGACGAATTTTGTAACGTTATCTTTGTTAAATGCTGCTGTTGTCCCTGGCTTCATATGAGTAGGGGAAAAGTATGCTAGCCGCTCGGCTAATTTATACAATGTAAAATGCCATAGGCTAACTTAAGCATGTTGTATTTGTGGGGAAAATGTGTCCAGATAAAGACAAGTGTTTTGTCTGTGAACGCTGCGAGTTATAGTGAAGCCGTTTAAAGTGTGTTTTGGGTGTGTTCACAGAATCTCTGCTGCAGCCTAGTGTTTTGGAGGTGTAACTGCAGAGTGACACAGACACACCACCGCACAAGTATAAATGCTCAAAACAGCGTAGGCAACATGCGTAAGGTCTGCTGCACAAGTATAAATCCCCCTTAATTTCATTCACTGACTGGTTCTGCCATCTCCAGCCCTGATTCAAAATGCTGAATCGACTGAAGAACAGCCGACAAGAGCCAACTAGTGGAACACACGGCTAAAAAATGGGGCGACAGACGCTCAGTCAGCTTAATGTTTCAGGGCCCTCACTCAGATTCTGACTCTTTTAAGCTTTGAAGCTGATCCATCATGAAACAGCAGAGACATCTTGTTAGCAAACGGTTGCTTATTCACACATCCAGCAGTTACGGAGCATCGTTATTATTCATTTGGAGTCACGTTTCTGGTCACTTGAGCAATATAAATCCAATATTCACTTTCCTTTTAGCTCTGTTTTGTCTCTACCAACTCCTGAGAGAATATGTGTCTCTTTAGCTGCCAAACGCTCCACTCTGTTCACCAGCTCGTCTCTAACTGTGCCTGTCCTCTTTCCATAAAACAGTTTAATTAAACTCTCAGCAAAAATATATTGCATTGCCTGATGAAAATGTGTGTGATTGCTCTGTGCTCTGAGTCTTCTGCACTCCTTGGGCTTTAATAAACATTAGTGTGTAACTCTAACTGTACATGCGATCATTATTTACAGTTAATATATTTGAATGAGGTTTAAATTTTGTACATTATATCTCCTAAGAATTACATATCTTTCAACATGTAAATCAATTGACAGCATTAACTGTGGATATGAATCAAAGGTCTCAAACAAAAATCTAAATGTCTTATCATGAAAATGTATGCAAATGTTATGAAAATGCAAGAAACTGCGTGGAATTAAGCAGAGCTGCAGAGCAAACACACACATGAGGCACCTAAAAAGTATTCACACTGTGGTCGGGCCTTTTTTCTGCGTGCTTCATGTCAGGCAGACTACACACACATGGCACCAATACATAAACACTGAAGTGATTAAGTCAGTGCAAATGTATTGCTGCCACCTGTGTGTATGTTTCATGTATTGGTTTTGAAGTTTTGCCATCCATCCACTACACAAAAAAAGAGCTTTTTCATGTATACACAGAACAAAAATTAAAAGAGCACTTTTGTTTTTGCTTCCATGTTTCACAGTTTTAAAGATCTAAGACTTTTTTTAAAATGCACTTAATAGATAAATGTCTCAAATTTTGTTCCCACATTTGTTGAAGTCTGTGTTAGTGAGCACTTCTCCTTTTCCAAGATTATCCATGTTCACTGAATTTTCATTTCACTACCATAAGCCATCCCCAATGCTGTTTCCCTGAATTTGGCAGAACATTATATTGGCCTCCTTATCTGCAGATCATGTGTACCCACACTATCTCAGGACCTCCACATCCAGTGTCTTCACCTGCAGGATTGTCTGAAACCAGCCACCTGGGCAGCTGATGCAACAACTGGTTTGCACTGGGCAGAGTGAGAGAGTAGTGATGTCCTGTGGCTGCAGATGTGCTGATGTCATCCAAAGCAAGGGCCTGTACACTTCCTACTAACCGCTGGCTGTTGTAACCTTCAGAAAGTTTAGTTGTAATCTTTCTCTCTGCTACAGACATTGCTGTTCTTTACTTTGGATCATTGTGTTTTCGACAAAATAAAGGTTTTTTTGTTGAAGTGCCTTGGTTATTTTGTAAAAGTGTTCACACAATGTTCTCTAATTTTGATCACCACTGTATATTGGCAGACACCCATGATGATACAGTGACCCCTACAGGACAAATTAGCAACCTACACACATTTAACACCATGGATGGCTCCTGTACACTGCATTAGGCAAGTGGTGTCACACCAGATACTGGCTGATTCTTTGGAGTATGTGACCAATATGTGGAGTTGTTTTAATCAGCATCTTGATCAGCCACACCTGTCAGGTGGATGATTATCTTGGAAAAGTGCTCACTTACAGATTTTAACAAATATGGGACCAAATTTCGAGAGAAATACATCTGTTGGGTGCATACAAATTCTTAGATCTTTAACTTAATCTTGTAAAAAAAAAAAACAGGAGCAAAAACAAAAGTGTTGTGTTTGAATTTTTGTTCAGTGTATTTTCTATGCAAACTGGGGGCTTAGTAGACATTATGGCACAACACTACTGACTTGTTGACTGACAAAAAAAGCAACTTGAGGATATTTGGCTCTTTTTTTTAAATGTTTGAGCAAAGATCAATCAAGCATTAAAAAATAATCTATCAATCATTAAATATGGTAATCATCAGCTTATCGTAAGTCTTGGCGAGTTCATCAGTAAGTTGAGGTCCTAAATAGCAATGAAGCACCTACCTCAGTTTTAAATGTAGCAGCATGTTCTTTACATCCTGGGAGTCCTTTGACAAAAGAGGCCACCTGATTAAAAAAAGAGAAATAACTTTAAGTAAAAATCTACAGACAGTCCGTCAAACACAAGATGTTTCAATCAATACGTTTATCCACTAATCAAAGTGCTTCGTAGGCCTTTACTGAACCAACAGGCCGAAAGAGAGCACCGACTCAGAACCAGAAAAGCTCTCCTTGAATATTCATGCACAGTTGCGGTTTCCCCAGAACAACTAGACGCCTTCATGTCAGATGAGTGAAGGAGGAGCATGTCTGCTTTTCATGTGTCAGCGCAGTGCGAGTGTGTGAGCATGTCTGACCTCCTCGGCGCTCCAAGTGGCCACTCTCTTGGCAGTCAGCCCCAGAACCTCGGGCAGCAGCTGGCAGTGTTTGTCCCAGCAGAGAGCCACCCGGTGGGGGGGAGAGGCGGAGATGCCGGGGGAAAACACAGACTCGTGGAGGGCCTGCTGGAGAGAGATGGCGTCTGGAGAGGCTGAGGACAGAGGGAGGGCAGAAGTCAGTGGGAGTGAGGTTTTGACGCTTTACCATGTTTAATTTTACACACAGTCACACGCACCTTTACTGTCGCCAATCTCCTCTTTAACGTAGTGCATTTTCAGGTATTTGGGGACTGGAGCCGTCCTGCAGAAACACAGAAGTTAGAGTCACTCTCCAACACAGGGGAACACTTTCTGCATGCGGCAGAGCTTGGTGAGATGATTTCAAGACTGTACCGTTTAGGCCTTGTTCCATTGTGGCTCTGCTCACTGGCTCCACCTGCTGGCTCAGGCTGAGCATTACGTCCTACACGCTCAGCTTCCACTGTCACTGGTTTCCTAGCAACACAGATAACTGCTCTCAGGTACAGACCACTGGATGGACTTGCATGTGAAACACTGAGAGGAGTTCTCTCGGGAGTTTAAGTAGCTTTTAAAGTGTGTTTGTGCTGTTTTTGTGGAGCTAAATGCACAAACCTGTTCTGGGAGTCTTCCGCTCCGTCTGGCTGGTCCAGCATCGAGGATGTCTGTGTTGTAGTGTTCACGTGAGGGTCCGGGCGTCGGCCACGTGGATGAGGTCCACTGAGGGCGAGGGGTCGTTCTCCGCTGAGGCGGTCTGGCAGCAAGCCCTCCTTGTTCAGATTCATCTCCGAGTAGGGACAACTCACCTGACTGCACACACACAAAAGACACGGCACCTTTACCCAGGCCTAAAACAAAACTGCCAAAATGTTCACTTCTGATGCTCTGCGATGTAACAGGTTACAATGAAAAGGAAGAGAAAACAGCTAAAAATCACCTTAAAGGCTCAAAACTCCCCCCCACACTCACAAGCAACACATTTACACTGCAGGCAGCCCACACAAGGATAAATGAAATTTAAGAACATTAAGATTCTTTCTTCTTCTCCTGTGCACATTACATACACAGTGCCCACACTGATGTGCTGTTTGAGCACAGTGATACAGCAACACTGACGAAATCAGAATAATTTAGAGTGTGGTTTTCATAAACAGAAATTTGCCCAGAATTTAGGCTAGAATGTACTGATGGAAGGGATACTAAGAAGTATTACACCAAAGCCTAAGATTCTTTTTTGGGTGACGATTTGATTCAATTTTCCATTTAAATTTTTTTTCCAGCACTGACAGGTGTGCCATTGTTAAACCATCAAGTCTTGATTCATAAAGATCAACATATCATTCGTTTTATGCCCAGTTTTATGACTTCTTTAAACACAGATGCTACATGGTATCAAGTTTGATATAACCGCCTACTAATAGGGCTGGGCTGTATACCGGTTTGCACCGAAAACCGGTATTTATTTTCGTTATGATATGAATTTTTCATATACCGCCATACCGGTGAATCGCCCAAACAACGTCCGGAACGTGCGCAGCAGCAAAGTGTTTCAGCGGGGACCCATTTCACCGCTGTACACCACAGGCACGCTTGAGCGGGTGAGAATGAGAGCATAGAAAAGTTTAGAGGCGAGAATGGCTGCCGGAGAGAGTCCTGAAAGCAAAGCAACTGTACACGATGACCCAGAAGAACTCATACCAAAAAGAGCAGTGTTTCCCCTATATGCAACTAGCAGTGGCGCACCGCCGTTTACAATTCTCCTCTGCCCTCTGTATCGCACACGGCGGAGTTTCGCCTCGATGCGCACACACCCACACACACACACACACACACACACACACACACAGACAAAGCGCACACACACAGGTGAGCACACTCGAGCACGGCTCGGACCGCATTTTCCTGACCGAAGACAACCCGTCCCGAGTCCGAGACAGTTAAGGCCGGGCTCCACCGGGCACATCAGCAGCGCGGCACATCTGCAGCACGAGTCCCGCAGCAGCTCGCCCCCTGTTAATCAATTACAGCGGCTCCACCGGCAACGGGAGCGGCTCGACAACCCCCGTCTGTCGCGCGACAACTCTCTATTTTACGCGGCTCTTCTATTTTTGTCGCGCTACGCTCCCCCACGCGACCCTCCAGCAGATAAAAACTACATGAAATAGTGTGCTAAACGAGCACCATGTGTTTTTAAATGAATAAACCATTGTCAGAGGTGATATGTGATGATTTTTTTTCATGCATTTACCCATGTTTATCCGTGACATTGTGTAAATGTCTGTGGCGGACATTTGAAAGCGAGTAGATGACAAACAGTACAGTAAACTTGTAGATAACTCAAATATATGTAATAACTTAGGTGGAAAATGCTTTAACATTTCATGCAGCCTCTCGGCTCAGCAAACGGTAAACAACCCCACTGGCTTCTCTACGTGTCGCTTCCATGCACAGTCAGTGGAGCCAAAATGAATGGAGCGGAGCGTGTGTTGTGTTCAGGCGTTGTCAGGTAAATAACAAATTCCGGCACTTGAATAGGCCATAGCACAACACAGCAGCATGTCAAGTTGACCGAACCTGAGCAAAATACCATGAAATACCGTGAAACCGATATGATTTTTTCTTAAAACCGTGATATGAAAATTTTGTCATACCACCCAGCCCTACCTACTAAGGTCCTGATCAGAGAGAGCGAGTCTTGAGGTTTTCAAAACGCGCACCGCACTGCCTTTATTGTTGAAGATGCCTTCTTTATTTGAAGATAACCACCGAACAGCCATAGCATAAATGTTATTTTGCTGTAAGTAATGTTAAAATCACACATCTGTATCTTTCAGCATAAAAATGGACAGAGGACACCTGCTTTCACTCTGAGGGGGGGAGGCGGTTCTTGTTGGACACAGGGAAACTTAGGTCCATGTGGGTATATGAGAACCTCAAACAGAGGAAGAATCATGGGAAGTACGCAGCTGGTCCAGCACTTTTTCTGCTCTGAGCTCAAGTTTTTTCAATTCGAGGTGTTTTCGGGGCGCTCCTGCAGAAATGCAAGGCACTCAGCAATGAAAGAGAAGCGAACAAATTGCTTCACTGTTAAATTTCCTTCGGGATCAATAAAGTTGCATCTATCTGTCTGTCTGTCTGTCTGTCTATCTATCACTGTCAAGTGGGAACAAAATGAGTAGCCAAGAGATGGCCAAAGGCTTCTTTACAACAACATTTTGAGTTTCCTCGCCTGCAAAAATGGTACGTTCCATTTAAACTGAGTCAGAGTTTCCAAGTTCCCAGTCGGAAATATCAACTGGAATGCCCCCTGTGGTTGGATTTCCGACTCAGAAAGTCGAAAGAACCTCACTAACCCGCCCTCAAAACCCAAGATGGGTTCTCCGCACATCAACAGTAGTGAAAGCTGTTTCTTTCTTTCTTATTGTCTCTCAGTAAATAAGTCACACACACAGTACTGTCCAACTTCTATCTGTGGAAATGTCGCAACAGTGTTTCTATGTGTAAAAATACAGCATAATGCTTTGCGCTCCTATCCTGGCTAGAGCAAGCCCCACTGTGAAATAATGATTTTCAGACTTCTTGTACTGGAATGCAGCCAACTCGGGTGTGACATCATTCCCAGCTCCGACCACTAACTTCCAAGGTAAATGGAATGCAGCAAAAGACATCACATCCTTGATTCGCTGTCACTTCTCTAGTGTAGCTGACAAACTGTAGTTTTTCTGATAATCACGTGTTTGTTGTTGGGAAAGTAAAATGTGGAAGAAAAAGGGTTTTCCTGTTCTGTTATTTCTCCGTCATCCCCGACTCCGGCTGTAGCCACAGTGTCTGGAAAAGTGCTTCTGCAGGCTACCAGTAAGCTACACCGCCGCTATGGGGGAGGCTCCGATCCTACTTTTGATTTTGAATATAGAAATCGAAAGCTCATTTCGACCGATTTTTGATTAATAATACTGGAGTCTTGATGCTTCAACTGAGGAGTAAGTGATTTAGAAAACAACCATATGTGTGCCACACGACATTAAGACTGAGAAACAATAGGAAAGAGAGAAACAAGAACAAGAAAAGAGACTGAGTTTGTGCTACTAACGTGTAGTGGGTCCCATAGCGAGGTCCTCTAATGTGGCCAACCCCGTTGCATCCTGGGGTAGGACATCCTTGGCCCGGGGCAGTCACTAAATCACTGGAGCCTAAAACACACACACACACACACACACACACACACACACACACACACACACACACACACAGAGCAATGTTCATAAAACTAAGCAAACAACTGCAAGACCATTTCCATTTTTAATTCATTATAGGTTCCTCCAGAAGTGAAATGAAAGCAAACACACTGTGCTGACTCATCTGTTGAAATTACAATTTTGGATTCTTCTCCTCAGAAACCTCGACTGACCTCTCTGAATATCAGGCCTGACAGACAGGAAGAGTGTGTCTCACCGTTGGGATATTGTAGTGGGTGTCCAGTCTTCTGACACCAGCCTACAGGGTGCAGATCAGGGCAGTCTGTCTCCACCCAGTAGTCATACTCCGAACTCCAGCCATCAAAATGAATCTAGATGAGAAGAGAGGGCCGTTAAAGCAAATTAGACAGAGCTCACCAAGTGAAACACGCCCAGATGAGGAGACCTGTTGTACCTTTAGTCGGTGGTCCTCTGTGTCTGCTATGGTTGCAACACGGATGAGCATGGGGTTCCTCTTATCCACAGCTTCCACTTTCATCCCAATCTGGAAGCCATGTGGAGGTCGCTGCAAACACAGAGCAGACCAACAATCACATGACTACATCTTGACTACGCTTGTACATATTATAAATCTATGTGTATGAGTTGTACCGGTTTAAAAGCCCGAGCAGGAGCAGCCTGTGTGCCCGTCTCTTCCAAATACTTCTCCCATGAGAAACTCTTGGGTTGTTTATATTCTAAGGAGAGGGAATTAGATCCGTTAGATTCAGTTATGTAACACGTGACCTGTAGATCAAACACTGGTGACAATCTGAACATCCACAGGAACTGACAGTGACATGCATTTCACCATTAATGTAAACTAGCTTCAGTATATTTACTTTAAAATTGTTAACACCAGAAATATGTAATAAAAGTAGTAAACTTTCTACAGCAAAATACATCAATCACGCAAGCAAAGAATCACATTATAAGCTTTGTCAGCAGAATCTAGATATGGATTAGTATTTACTCTAGTAATGTTAGATTCTGCATTCCCTACGGTATATTAAAAGAGTTTATACTGACCCACGTGTGTCTTGGTCTGTGTCTTACCAGCTGGAGTGGTCAGAGTTAGCTCAGCCTCTTCACAGTATCCCACAGGATGGATGTATGGACTGCTAGCGTCACACCTTGATAAGAAACAGCTACTAGGTGAACAAGCACGTATTAAGGGATGTCTCAAATGCCAGTTTTTGTCATGAGAGACAAGGACACAATTTGCACTATCTTGAAACAACAGTTTTCAGTTAATGCACCTAAAATAATGTGACAATGAGCCACTTTGTTAGCACTCAGGTTGCAGTAACATTAGCCATAATAGCTAGAAAAAATACTTTAAAGACAGATGTTTCCATAGAGTTTCCAGGTGATTTGCCAGACTCAATGGAGAGTTATGATATGCCAGTTTCTTATCTGGCACTCAACTTTTTGGGGGTCATATTCACACTTTTAAAAACTAGTCCATTGACATCTTGGTAGCAAATCGGTAAGCCTGTGGTTACATGGTCCAGTTTTAGTAGTGCTGCACATTAGATGACAGCGAGTCACAGTTATAAAACTACATTTTGTCTAAAAGTCATTTTCTGAGAATAAATTAATTCTAATATATGTTTATGCTGAATTGGATGTCAGTAACCATGACAATGACTTCAGCACAATTTTAGACTTTTTCAAATGTGTTCCAGGTGCATAAACTCTAGTTATGCATGTCCAACTTTTCCAGACTTTATGTCCAATTTCCAATCCACCTCATGTTCATTTCCACATTCTCCATAGCAAAAGCACACCAATACAGTTCCCAGTAGTGCTCCTAATGTATTCAGATCTGAAAAATTAAATATGGTTGAAGTATGTACGTTATACCCTCAAAATGCTATGTTCCCAGGCTCTTCTGAAAACATTTCTCACATGTCCAGATGAAGGTTAATGTACAATGTGGCTGCTACATATAAACCTACACACTGCTGTGGACACCACGTTAGTTCGGTTCAGAAAGTCACACAATAACCAACAAACTAAACGATCGAGACAGCAGGTAGACAAGCAACTTCCACGTAATGTGAGGTAAAATTACTGTTTCTGTCAACAGAGTCTGCCGGCTTTGAAGAAGGAGATATAACAGCTTCAGTTTCAAATCAGAAAGGGTTGTCTGATGCTGACACTTAAAGTGATGTTGTTTTTCTTTAGGTGATCCTTTTTTTAGAGAACAAGGAGCTACTAGTTACTTGTACCTCTGATTGGAGGGGTTTCAATTTTAAAAACATGTTAAGAGGACAGATGGACGTGCTCCTTAAATCAGGCTCTTACCAATAATCATACGTGTCATCCCAGTTGTCAAAATGAATGAGCAGCCGGTTGTCGACGACAGCAGCAATAGTTGCTACGCAGATCAACGATGGGTTCTTCCTGTCCACTGCCTCCAGCTTCATCCCTGCTCTGAATCCAGACGGAGTCACAGACTGGAATAAAAAAACAAAAACATACACGTTTAGCTCACATAAAACCTCAATTTAATAACTTGTTGATTTATACTGTAATTTTTGTGTGCTTGTATTGTTTTCTATGTACTGTAATAAGGGTGTCCTTGCTCTCAGTTGCCTTCCCTGTTTAAATAAAGGTAATAATAGGAATATTACTGTGTGCTTCATACTCACTGTGTTGAGGCTCTTGAAAAGGTGTTTTGGGGCCAGCTGACCCCTACAATTCTTCACATACATGCTCCAATTAAACTCTCCGTCCTTACAACCTACAAGACAAACCTGCTCAGTAAAGCTGTTTGTAAAATATTTCATACATTTTTAAGTTTGTGTGTGTGTGTGTGACTACCTTTAGGCAACAATAACTTATGCCCGTTCTTCTCACACCAGCCAGCTGGTTTTATATCCCATGAGTCGGCGTTGGCCCAGAAGTCGTAGCATTCTGGGTAACCATCGAAGTGGAGCCTAATCCTATAGCCTTGGATCTGAGAGGCGATGAACAGTCAAATTGTTAAATAAACAGGGATTAATATGGATGTGGTCATATGCTAAACCAAGGTTACAAACGACTATAAGTGCACGCACCTCTGCGACCGTGAGAACACAGAACAGAGACGGATGAGACGGGTCCAGCCCCTCCAGCTTCATTCCAACCTTAAAACTGTTCCTGCTTTGAGGAAACGACTGGTGCTGCAGGACAAATGTACATCACAGCTCGGTCATGATTTGGTTCATCTGACACCAAAAAAGCAAAACCATCTGGTGATACTTAAATATATCGACACTAAAACTGGCCAGTGTGTATGTGGGGAAAATGTACCTCCTTGAATAGTTTCACAGGAGCAGCGATGGCTCTCTCCTCTTCCAAGTAAGAAGGCCAGCTCCACGCGCGTTTCTTATTGGCTGGTGCTGTCACTGAGAGTCAGTCAGAAACACAAGTATGATGTACTGAAGTTAGTGCATGAGGACTTCCATCACATTCATGACAAACATACAGATGCAAGTTTGAAATATTTTTAATTCAGATCAGTTCAGTTTACTTTTTAATTTAAGACTAAATTGTTTGGACACGTCATATTTTTCTTGCAGATGTGGATTTTAAGTAGGAATATGGTTATTAGAGTGAGTGGGGTAAATCTACATTTTGTCATCAAATAAGTATGAGTATAAAGTATTACGTTTACCGGTGGGTTTAAAGATTTGTAACATCAGAAATGTGAACTTTTACACAGAAAAGCTTGACTCATTTTGACAAAATGAATAAATAAATAAAGGATTAATTCAAGATAGATTAGATACATTAAAATTAAAATTGTGGCAAACAAGACTTCACAAATTCAAATTTAAAACTATTTAATGACTATTTAAGGACCTGCAAAAAAAAAAAAAAAAAAAGTTTTTTAATCTATCACTCTGTATGTCAATGAAAAACATGACTAACACCTGGAAACATGATCTTACTATTGATAGATCGGTATCAAATTAATATAAGCTGTCATCCATGCCTGTCCTGTGTCACACTTCCAGGGTGCCTGTACACTTTATAAGTTAGAGTTAAGATATTTTAAGAAGTTTCAATACTAAATGCACTAAAGATTTGAAAATAAAAGTTGATAGATGAGACGACAATCTGTAAGACGGTTGGTTTCTCACTAAGGCAACAGCACATCATTTCGCTCCAGCAATTTTACGACTTACAAAACTGAAGTTAGGGACATAAAATGTATCTTGAATTGTATTTGATACCCATTAAAGGCCTTGATTTTAGTTGACCATGTCAGTCATTTTGAGGTTTAGTGCGTAGGATTTAAGGGCATCTACTAGCAGAAATGGTATATAATATATAACTATGTTTTCATGAGTATATAATCACCTAAAACTACAAATTGTTGTGTTTTTTTTTTTTACCTTAGAATGACCCGTTTATACCTACATAATGAGTGGGTCCTCTTCCACAGATGAACCAAATACTGGCTCTAGAAAGGACCATTTGTGTTTTTATGTCAGCCACTGTAGTTCTCCAACACTTTTGGGTCACAAGAGAGGTTTGAGTTCTGCAACCTCACTGCTAGATGCCACTAAATCCTTCATACTGGACCTTTAATGCCTGTTATGGGCTTTTAAAACCCTGTGAGACAAGAGAACACCTCTATCCTTATCCCCATTCTACAGTGGCAGCAGTCTAACATACCCAGTTTGGCAATTTTGGCACCTCTCCTGCCTTTGGTGGTCTTGGCCTTCTCCTACAAAAGGTGAAATAAAAAAATGTGTCAATAATCTGAATTATCAGCTTTATTCCCGCCACCTATCTTGTGTGGTTTCTTGGCTTAACGTTGAGGAGAGTAATTATAAGAATAGAAAATTTTCATTAAATGCTTTGTTGCAAAACTTCACTTATTACAGAAACTGCAGAAAGGGAAATGAAGTATGAGGGTATGCTCCTCACCTCTGGTTCCTCTTGGTTGTCTTCCTCTTCATCACCAGAATCCATATAGATCTTCCTCTTTTTGCGCACACGTTTCCCCAGCCTCTCACCCTCAACTGCTTGACTCTCCCTTGCTTCCCCTGGAGATGATCTGTAGAAAATAAAAATTTGGCTCCAGGTGAAACTGCAAAATGATCTGAAGGACACAGAGGTGTTTAACGATACTGGACGTGTGATTTCACCTGCCGCTGGAGGGCTGGGCACAAACTGAGCTACAGAATTTGCCCTGAAGGAGGGCATCGCGGGCAACACGACTACCGCAGGCTCGGCACCTTGACAGCTCCCCATTTGGGCCCATGTCTGCGCTGGAGCCAACTTCAACACTGGGACCAACCTCCACACTCGGGCCCTCCATACTGGGGCCCTCCTCTAAAGACAGAAGCACAGGACCAGGAGCTGGAGGACAAAGCAGAAAGAAGGTCTGAAACTGACAAGTAGAGCATCAAAAAGTCAACACTGCATTGCTTTACAATAACAGCACTGTGAGGATTCAACATGTGCTGTCATACATTTAACTTGAGACGATCCAGGCTGACTCTGAGTGGCTGGAGTTGTGGCTGTGCCAGTCTGTGATTGGCCCTCTGGTGGAGGTGTAGGAGTGTGAGACTGTGCTGGGTCCAAGGTCTCAGGCTTAGGCTCTGTCTTCTGCCCTTTGACCTCTAGGTCTGTGACAATCTCAAGAGTCCCAAACTCTGTCATGCGGAACTGTAAAACACAAGCAAGGTAGAAACTGGTATGTTCATCAGGGTTTCTGCCAGGAAATTATTGAGCTGGTACATCGCCCTAATCCTGATCATGGTGTCTACTGATGAAGGTACTTCATTAAGGACAACCTACATAATATTCACACTGAATAAATATATCATATACCCATGGATGGATTACTAAATGTGCAACCAGGCAAAGGCCCAGGAGCCCAAAGTGTCAGGACCCCCCTGGCCTTTACCTGCATGTCACTTAACATACTGACACAAAGCAACCACAAGGAGACACAAAATTATCTCAAATAGGCACAAAGTGACCTCAAAGAGACACAAAATGACTATAAGCACAGAAACCAACCACAAGGAGACACATAACTGGCTCCAAAAAACACGACATTGCCTCAAAGAGACTCAAAATTATCCCAAAATGAGGCACAAAATGAATACAAAGAGAAACTAAACAACCAGAAAAGACTCATAATTACCATAGAGACACAGAATTACCTCAAAGAGACACAGAGTGACTACAAGGAGACACAAAATGACATCATAGAGACACAAAACAACTACAAGAAGGCACAAAATAACCAAAAAGACACAAAATAACCTCAAACAGATGCAAAATTACCTCAAAGAAACACAAAATTACCTCATTAAGACACAAAACAACCAAAAGGACACACACAACAACCACAGGCAGGGACAAAATGAATACATCGAGAAACAAAAAGACCAGATCTGACCTAAATTTGTCTTGGAGAGACACTAGATAATCTCCAAAAGACTCAAAGCTGCCTCAAAGAAACCCCACATTACCTCAAGGCACAAAGAGAAACCACAAAGTCTGTGTGTCTCGTTCCTAAGTAGGAGATGTGGTGGGGCCTTTTGGATATCTGTGTCCAGGGGCCCACTGTCTCATAATCCACCCATGGGTATACCCTGTGCAACAACGTGAAACCCTGCTCCTCCAAATTTGTGTCTGACCACAGACTTTTACACCAACATTACTCCCATACCCTGATGTCACTACCCGGCAGCGTGGCAATACCGTCCTTCCAGTCCAGAGCACCCATCATATCAAACTCAGCTCCCTGAGAGGGGCCATCGCTGGGCGGAGTGTCGGTCATTCCCACTCCTCTGATATCCCCAACCTGCAAAGATGAAATATAAAACAAATACCAAAGACACTGCCACATGATGAAAACTGACACAACAACATTACAGATGTTCAAAATGTAACAAAGGTTGATTAAAGAAGGTTCAGTCCACATCTTTGTCTCATATTATGGCGTTGTTCTCCGTCTACTGTGCTGACTGTGTGTGATAATCCCAGCGAAGCAGCCCCCTGCATGGCTTTACCTACAAAGTGCTCCCAAACGTCAAATGCAGTTTCTACCTGCACTTGTAAACAGCATTGCCGGACATCACCGCTGGATGGCGACTGTGTGCTGGCTTGCAGGATACACCATGCACTTCGATTTCAGACCAAACAGTCAATAATAATATTGTTTTGCTGGCCAACTAACAGGGGAATATGTGCACAAATGGCCCCATTAGAGTGAACCTTCACCAGGACCATTGACAAACATGAGGAAAGATGTCTCAACTTGAAGTTAACCACACAAGTTCATCTTTTCCTTGTTTTAACAGTATCTCCTAAAACCGACTGTTTGCCTGGTTATGAACAAGTGAGAGGGTGATTTGGTTATCCGTTTTAAAGAGAACACTGTTTTCTGCACTGACTGGCCAAACTTAAAAGCGTTTCAAGGCGACTAATATTACGATATAACGTTTTAGTCTTGACGCATGTTCAACACTGAATTAAGGTGATATTTTCTGTTTGCATTGTGCTCATAAGCATGCGAAAAGTAGACAACAGCCCGAGCTGATGGATCTTGATTAAGTTTGAGTTTGCACTTGATGCCTCAGTTTTATTCTAGCCATAAATAAAGTGAATGTAGGAGCGCCCATGATTAGCATTCGTCTTATACAAAATGGCGGAGCATAGGAAGAGGCCACCAACACGTTTAAACTATGTAAATTACTCAAGTTACCCATTTAAACAAATCATGCAAAGCCGCTACGCGTCGAACAAAAGCAAACGCTTGCTGTATAATTTCCTGACTTTGTGTTTTCCGCCACTCGAGTTATTTTCTTCACTTTCCCCTTGTCACGGAATGTCAGCCCAGGTTGCTAGCTAGCGCTGACACGAAGCTAACAGCCAGCTAGCTCCGCTCCGTTCAACTGCACTGGGGGTTGCTAGACGGCTAGCCATAGCATTGTGACTGGATGCAGCCAGCTAAGGACAATCTGTAATAAATAAGTTTCCCGGTTAATAACAATAGGAAAACGCATTTCGCGAAACGTCAACATTTCGCACAACAGCACACACAGTCGCAATAACACCGCGCCACTGTTACGAGCTTCAACATTGTTGCTTGATTAATTTCTTCAATAGAAACTTGAAAAAAACGATTTATTCTCGCCGTTTTAAATCAGAGTGGAAATAATGTGAACTAACGCCAATAAGCGAAACGAAGGCCGCTTTTTCAAATTTCGCCACTGTTAGCGGCAATAAATGAGTATTAACGCCCGTATTGTTTAAAAAAATGTGGAACTCACCTCGTTTCTGTTTTAACTCTTATTTAGAGCTGGATAGGAGGATGCGCATGCGTGCAAGATGCGCTGCCTGACAACTTTGGGTCTCGGAAAAGTTCAGTTTACTATCGGTGGTCAATACCGGGCCTGTTTACTCTCACAACACGCCCAAAAACTCAGTTCGGCACCGATATAACGAGCACTACCGATGGACCGGTGCTCGTATCCACGGTTTGCTCGCAACAGCCACAGAAGTATTCACATAAAGAAGTACGACTGAGTGTATTTCAATGGAGCGCAGAGACCGCAGTGTCTTCCATAACCGTTGAGGAGCGGTTGGTTCCCCTCTGGTCAAACTGCCTGTCCCCCTTTCAGTTAAAAAACATCCTCAGTTGCCAAATGGCTTAAATATGTACATGCAACCCGAGCACGAGCGATAATCAGTTTGTTAACGCCGGTGCTAACAGTAGGATTAAACACACAGGCCTCTAAGTGGCATTTTATTAACCTAAAAGGACCCAAATACGATGCAACACAACAATCTGGACCGGTTTGTCCGTTAAAACACATCCACAGTCATGTCGGCTGGTGCGTATCCAGCACATAAAGTCGTACAGGATGAATGCACATTTGAGTTTAGCTTAATGAAACACACATTTAACACAGAGAAACGCAGCCACATGGCTTCATTTTGTCTTTAATCCAACATGCATGCAGGCACTGTATCGGACTGTGTGGCATCACCTCAAATACCATTACTGCATGTATGATTTAATGTGACAGCTAATCCATTTAACTCAGTAATAGGATTGTGTGCTTATTCCTTTCTGGTGTTTCTAGGTTGATTTGAAGTATTTGTGGGGTCGCTGATGGTTATGTTGAGGCACATCATCCCCAGCTATCCTGCAGTAGTGTTCAATCCCTCCCACATAGGGCGGTTATGGTTTCTCCGGTATAATAAAGCTGCAGATTTTTAAGCGTCGTTTTAGCCATTTTTTTTGTATGCAATTGACTCCGGTTAGGCAGAAAACATTAAAGTACCCCTGACTGCACGTTCAGGTGTTAGCTAACAGGTACAAGGAGAGGAAAGTCTTTATTTGAGCCAACAAAGGCCGCCCTGATACGAGGTGAAATGAGTTCAGTGTTGTAGAAGCGGCGGCGCTGGTTTTGTGTCCCGTGTTTGTCGCTAGATGGCGGAAGAAGTCCAGTTTTCCGGGGGATTAACGGGGTCGTGCACCGTGCTGCAGCAGCCTGGATTATTTTGTAATGTAACATCAAGGAAAAACAATGAGATGGCATTCAAAAGCAAAGCGGTCGACTCGAAGGTAAGAGGACAGTGAAGGTGTCATGTGTGGTGTGTGGACTGTCAGTCGGGATCGGCTGTGGGGGAATCATGTGCGATCAAATAGTGAGGAGGATATGACTAGATATGTAACGCCTGATGCTTATTTTTTTTGCAATAATGCGGATTATAATCTCCACTGAGTGCAGCAGGTCAGTGTACAGTCGCTGTCTGCCTCCCACTGCAGCCCGGTCGCCCTCAATATGCAGCTCCAGGGTCATGTTTGCGTGGAAAACATGTGTTGTTCATTACACAAATTAAAATACCGTATTGTGAAATGTTCTGTCTCAACCCCACAGACCGTGCTCTTCAACCTGCTGCTGTGTCTGCTCATATTTTACTCGCTTTTCTACATGATTGGGAGTGTGTGCTTCGGAGCCTTCAGGTGAGAGTCTCTCACACGCATGCGCACAGGCAAACCAGCCCTTGAAAGCATCACCAACCTCTCCTGCGAGAACTTTCTTCTTTTAGTTAATATCATCCACACCCAGTGAATATTCTGATGTTATAAAATGGTGGCTAAAAAACAAGATAGCACATATATTTTTTTTAAACAACCTTTTTATTAATTTGTCAACATTATACAAATAGAAAAGAACATGTAGAATACCAAATGTATGAAACAAAAGTCCTGCCTTTTCTTTAAAATAAATACATCCATGTTGACCAGCCATATTAAAGCAATTGAAAAATTATAACAAACACTCACACGCATGTAAACAAAAATAAGCAAATAGGAACACAAACAACATCAATAAATAAAACTAATAATAGTAATAATAACATTAAATAAAAACAGAAAAAGGCAAAGAAAAAAAATTACAATGAGGGTTCTACATCCTCCTGAGACCTGAACTTTTATTTGGTGTACATTTTTAATTTCTCCTCGCTTGTTGGGATCAGTAGGACCTGATAAGTATAAAAAACTAAACATTGTCAATGATACTGAAGTCCCAGTGTCCTCAAACAGACAATAATAGAGTCCTCATGTCTTCAAACAAGTACTTCCTAATTTTCAGTTATGCTTTTTATGGTGCAGTACCTCCTAATTAAAAACATCTTAGCTTGTCACTGTTGCTAAAACTGGTCAAATTTGTTACTGTATCAAACTGCAAACAAAGTTTCAACCATAAAATGTGATCAGGTTTTGGACCATGTCCACTTTTGTGTCGGGGTCGGCTGCAGACTGACTTGGCAGAGATGGCTGCCATCTTGTTTTTACATTGCTAAGTGTATTGTGCTCTTACTACAACTACATGGCACAAAAAAGTGTCCAAGGATGAGGACAACAGGTCTGAGTTAAGTAGAATATAATAAGGTCAAGTAAACCCAAAATGTGGGGTCTCAGGAGGATATGACAGATGCTGACACAAGTCCTTCATTGCATACTGTATATTACATTTACTCTATACAACAAGTAAGTTTTAATGCAGAGGTTGTGATTATGAGTCCTTTGTTATGTCAAACATACGAGAGAGATCTCTAACATCTAAAACATCTTATAAATGGGTGCCAGATACACTGAAACCATTCTTGTTTATCTTCATATGTTCCAAAGGAAAACACAGACATTTCCTTAAGCCAGTGCCCAATACATTGTCTCTGGGTGCTTCTCCATGTTGATGCTTAACATCTTGGCTTTAGAAGGCGTGCGTCTATTAAAATTGCCCAATGTCTCTTTGCATAAATGCCAAGAACAAAAAAATTGTATGTATTTTTACTGACTCTTAAGGCGAAACATGATGCCACGTGTAGTCTGCAGTGTGTATTTGGGGGTTGTGGCATGCATACAAAACATGCAGAAAACGTGACAGACATTGGGTCAGTAGGGCCAAACAGCTTATTTTTGACAAGGGTAATGGATCCACCTTTGAAGCAGCCACTGCAGTGGTTAGATTTAGTTATTTGGGGATTTAGTTCTGCACCATGTCGCCTATATCTGGAGCCTGCTTTTACCTGTTGCCAGGTAGACATTAGGGGTGGGTGACATGGCCCTAAAATAACAGCATGATATTTTAAGGGATTTTTGTGATACTGAAAATATTTTTCAAGGAGATACAAGTGCAACAAAATAGGTTTTATAGTTAATGTCAGTATAAATTCAACAGTTTGCCTTCAAATAAACAGAACAAACTAAGCAAAAATGATCTCAGTTCTTTAGTTTGTAAACAACAGTTTCTCAGTGAGATTCTGATTCTGTATGAAATATAAAAAAGTACAACAAAATAAAGTCAACTTAAAATGTCACATCTTAACAGTTGCCATTGTGTATACATAATAAATATACAGGAAATTTCCTTTTCTTTGGGAAAAATCCATAAAGACTGGACTGTCTTTTCCATCTGAATCTTCACGCTCTGCTTTTTCCTCCCTTCTCTTCCCGCTGTATCTTGTGTCACTCAACACTGACCATCAGGTTTCAGTTTCAGCCATGCTTGTTGTTGCCGTGTGTAACACTATGACGTCAATATGTCAACAAGTTGGAATATTGCCATTATCAAGATATGAATTGTTCTTATCATGTTAAAACTTATACTGGTGTTGTTGTGAACAAGATGATATGGCACACTGGTTTAACACACTGTCCTGCAATTGCTGACATTAGTTTTCCCCTTTATTGTATATTTAACCCACCCCTCATTTAGGTTGGATCACTTTGACGGACTGATCCCATTTGACTTTAAGACCGAACCTGCTGAGTCCAACTCCAAATACTTGGGTGAGCACATTAAACACAGCCAGTATGATCAACAATGAGCTTGAATTTTTTTTCACTTCCTGTATTTTTTGCAGTGAACCTCCTGTCCTTGGAGCTCACCTACTTTTGCAGCGGCCTTTTGTTTGCCGCAGTGGTGAGGAGGCGGGTGTGGGACTACGCCCTCACTGTCACACTACTGCATGTAATGATCACCAGTGTAGGTGAGTGGAGATCTAACGGAAACATCTAGACACACACACAAATTGCAGAATGTTTTGTGAAAGTTGATGTGTTGCTTTCACATTGCAGTGATGTTGGAGTTTCCCATGGTGTGGCAGTGGTGGCTGGCTTTAGGTAAAACAAAAAACACAAGCATCTTTCCTGCGTTTAACTTTATGAGCTCAGTTTGACATTTTTGTTTTTACGTAGGCAGCGGCTTGTTTCTGATGATCTGCAACGGTCAGCTTATAGCTTACTTCACCTGCCAGAGTGACCAGAGCTACGCCTCCTTCAGCATCTACTGACAGACAGGAAGCTCCTCTTTGTATAAACTGTTTCATAAACAGTCTTGTGAAGTGAGGTGGAAAGGATCAGACCAGATGCTCTCATCCTGGAGACATCCATTAGATTCTCCACGGTGATGGACTTTTTCTGTACACTAAAAAAAGACACCATTTCCTCACCATCATACATAAAGTCAGAGCTGGGTCCAATTTGTGTTTCAGGGTTGTCAACAGACTGGCATCCTATTGTTTTTATGTAAATGCCACAAGGAGATGTATTTTGCTTGTGATGCACAATGCCTCTGTCACTGCAGGGTTTTAAGGCACCCTGTGAAGTATTTTCAGTACCTTTGTAAACTGTGAATTTAACAGCAAAACGGGAAAGTTGCAATACATGCTTGTTGTACATATTTAAAGATATAAATGTAAAGTGCATAAACAATAAAGCTGCTTCAGATTGTTTATTCTTCCACCCTCTTACATGTTAAGGTAGTTAAGACTTGTGAAATAGTGACCAGCCTGTTTCACAATATGAACTGATGTCAAAGTAATAACTTAAAAAATATATTATATTTTAGTAACCAATGAAACATGCAGTGTTAGTGTAAGAAACTTTTTGCTTAAGTGTTTAAAAATAGACTTTGGTTTAATAATTTATGACATAAAAAATAAATATTTGAAGAAACATGCTCCCAGAGGATTTGGCGTTGTTATAAAATCGGCTCTGCTGCCACGTACTCCAATGGGTTCATGAAGGAGAATCCTGGGAAGACCTCGCTGACCTCGCCCTTCTGGCACCACTCATTCACAGAGGCAGGGACAGGCTGTATCGTGAACTCGGGGTCAATGTAGCTGACATCACAGGGACCAGTCTGGGGAGGAATAAACACACTCAGGTCCTATGGGCTTTGATTTGGAAAAAAGGTGCTCCCCATTCATTTCTGAATCAGTCTTACCACTTTGGGGATGAACGGGGGTCTAACTTTCCGGGCCAGGAGGTCGTCCCAGTTGATGGATGCAAAGAAGGGATGTTCCTGCAGCTCCTCCTGGAAACACATTGAAATCAGACCCTCTGTGGTTGGTGTGATCAGACACATCATTGCTTGTGTCTTTTTTTTGTGTGTGTGTGAGTGTGTGAGCACTTACAAGGTCACGGCTCCCTCCTAAGCGTTTGGAGACGTCTCTTTCCAGCAGTCCCTCTAATAGTGAGCGTGCAGCCTGAGACCCCCCACTACGCATCTGCAGAGGAGCGTGAAGTATGTTCTCAAACATCTCCACTTTGTTACGGCTGTAAAATGGAGGCTGAGAGAAAAGACAAGGAGACTGAGTAATGTGAAGATAATGAAGAGGTTTATATGATGATGATAAGATTGTTTCACATGCAGCACTCACCAGCCCATAGATCATCTCAAACAGCACAGTGCCGAGGCCCCACCAGTCCACCACTGGACTGTACGGGTGGCCTCGTAGCACCTCTGGAGCAAGGTACTCAGGAGTCCCACAGAACGTATGCATGATCCCGCCTATGGCCACTCCCTCTTTACATAGCCCAAAGTCAGTCAGCTTCACATGGCCCTCACTGTCCAGCAGGATGTTCTCTGGTTTGACGTCTCTGGAAGACGAACAAATGAGACAAAAGCGTTGGTTTAGTCTACGGGTTCCAACAAAAACAGATAGTGACTTTGTTTTTGTTGAAATTTCGTCTTGGTTCCTATCACTTTTCTCAACAGTTTATTTTTAATGTGGTGTTGGAAGACATGGTTGTTTCTAGTGATAACATTTTTATGCAGACCTCTCTAATCAAAGTGAATGCTTTATTGGGATTTCCCTACATGAATCAATTAAACATGAGGAACACATTTAAATCAAATATGAGTCAGTGAGCAGACTTGAAGACAACAGCAGATGAAGTGCTCATGTGAATTGCAGTATCATGGTATCCAGGAAGGTGCTCTTTGGTCAGGAAGTGTAGTACATCCTGAAAAAAACAAAATCCAAGGCAACTCTTCTCTGGTGCAAAAGTTAAAAGGCCTTTATTAAATGGCTAGTTCATGATGAACATTAAAATCACCAACATGTTTCGGCCATGCTCACTGGCCTTCATCAGGGCATGGATGGATTTTGTTTTTTTCAAGATGAGTCAGTGAGCGTTGAACCAAGAAAAACTTGGAAGAGTGACTCTGTAATGGCTTGTCTATTTGTGTATGTGTATGTACCTGTAAACTATGTTAAGAGAGTGGAGGTAGCCCAACGCCATGGCCATCTCTGCAGCGTAGAAAGCAGCCCTGGGTTCAGGAAATGACCCCTCCCTCTGAAGGTGGTAGAAAAGCTGAGGACAAACAGATGAGTTGTGACATCTCTAAAATTAAATTGAATGCACAGTCTTAAAGGGTAGCTCTGGTATTTTCCAACAACAATTTTAAAAACCATTAAAACAAGTCAAATGTGAGTACTTTGTCCGCCTCCTTAACTTGGCAATTTGAGATGTGCTACCATTTTTACATTTTTGATCATATTGGAGTTTTGGGTTTAGCACTCTGAGTATCATCACTGTTGATGCACAACATCCTTTTTCATCTGGAGGATCAGATTATTATTATATTATATGTGTCTGACGACCTATGGAAAGAATCCCTTCAGAGATGGACCTCTTTGTAGAGTAAAATCCTTTTTGTTAAACCAAAAACAGCCCCGAAATTGCTTTAGTCAAATGCTCCAAACTCCATTTAAATAAACTGTAATTTTATTATTATAAAACACATTTCATTCAAAGTAGACAGAGACAAAATAGAACTCTGGTTTGGTTGAAATAAACCCTTAATTTACACAGTTAAATTACAGTTTACTGATAAGGAGTCTGGCGTATTAGGCGATGGCAATTTCAGGTCTGTTTCTGGTTGAACAGAAAGGTCACCCTCTGTAGGGATCCTTTCCATAATGTTGTCAGACACTTAAAATAACAATCTGAGCCTGTCAGTGGCAAAAAAAGAAGCACTCAGTTGTTGTAAACTGACGGTGCTCAGTGCCCACAGGAAGTACATCACAGCCTGTTTCACTGCTGCTGGCTGCAGCAGTCTCACCCAGTACTGAACCCCTTTCAAAAATGATTGTTCACATAAGTCACTTAGACACAAAAACATGTGAAAACAAGGTCAAGGTCAGAAAATACCAAAGTTCCCCTTTGAGAATTATGTCAATTTTATGTAATATCTAATACCAAGGTAGCAGTTTTCATATTCTGAATGATTGTGGGCAGTTTCTTACCAACCCACAGTTGACAGAGAAGAACTTTTTATACACATACCTCCCCTCCATTAACGTAGTCCAGGACAAAGTAGAGCGTGTTCAGTGTCTGGAAAGAGAAATGGAGCCCCACTAGGAATGGATGTTGTAGTCCCTTTAGCAGCACGTTCCTCTCAACCATCACATGCCTCTGCTGCAGAGACACAACAGATACAACAAGTAGTTAGACAGACAGACAGACAGACAGACAGATAGATAGATAGATAGATAGATAGATAGATAGATAGATAGTTTACCTCTTTCCTCTTGACAATCATCTGTTTCTGCAGCACTTTGACAGCATAGTAGCCTCCACGTTTTCTGTGTCTTGCCAGCAGCACCTGTAAAAGTTTGACCTGTCATTCAATATCCCAATAACAGCAACAAAAAAAATCAACACAAAAAATATCAAGAATAAACAAATCCTACCTTTCCAAAGCTTCCTTTACCGATAACTTTGAGGTAGTCAAAATCTGATGGCTTCATCCTAGTTCACATAATGAAAGAAAATGAAAGCTATATGTTGTGAGGCATACTCCTGGTCCGTATTTCAGTAATTGCAACAAAAAAATTTGTCTTGGGTGTGTCAGTACAATGGACAGCCAAGAAAGGACAGCAGAGGAGATGGACACAAAAAAGCATTCATAATAGTCAAGGACTGAAATGTTTGTTGCTGTTTTAATTCACTTTTTATTTTTTTTATTTTTTTTGCACTTTGAGCAGCTTTTTTTGTTAATGGCTGTCCTAAATAAATTGACATTTTTTTGCATTGATCTCAGCCTGTGAACCCTTTTGTAGCTGTCCAACCAAGTTGCACTGGTGTGCGGGTATCTCCTCTGCCATCCTTTGTTGGTTGTCCATTGTACAGACACACCAAAGACAAACTTTTTTGTTGCCCTGAGTTGGTGCAGGGTCCGAAAAACACAGATTTTTAACATGAAACTGCTTTAATCAGTGTGTCTGCTGGTTTGAATCACCAGGTCTGTTTATTTTGGACAGGCAGATACCCCTGCAGATAATTCAGCTCCCAATAAGAACCATCTAAACAACGAACAATAAAGTAATAACAACCAGGAGTTTTTTTGCTGGTTGCAATCTGATATCCTCACTGCTAGGTGCCACTAAGTCCCCCTACATCATACATACTGATCCTTTTACTAACTACTCACCATATCATATTGAAATTTTGAATTGTGACAAGTAATTACAGATCAGTAGACTATTAATAATCATTACTAACGGGATGTAAACCAGATATAACAGTATCTTTTGAGTGTAATTCAACAGACTGCTATGGACAGAAAGAGTTGCCCCATAATGTGAAGCCAAGCTTTTTCTGTCATGACTTACTGTGAGGTTGCTGTGCTCGCTGAGCTCTGCAGAGAGAACAGACAAATAGGGGGCAGGAGGGTCAGGAGGGTCAGGAGGTCAGATTCAGTTTCATCTCCTGTCAACACTTAGCTCAGTACTTTCAAAAAACTCCTCTATAACTCACCAAGGTGCCTCTCTCCTTCTCTCTTTTCAGCTTGCTCTGTCGCTGCAGGATTTTCTGGGTGTCCAGGCTTCAATCAGGAGGTCAGAGACAAAAGTTATTTTTCCATCAGATTCAGTGAAGTTAAAAGCTGTAAACATGAAATTGCGAACTTACTGTTGGCAGAATTGCTGAGTGGAAACACATTTGTGTAAGAAGCCACTGAAGCCAACTTTCTTCCCCTTGAGCAGAGCTGTAAGACAGGCAGGGGGTTAGCCAGCCCCTTACATAAGAGTTCAACAGCTGTATTTAGCCAATAGGTTAAGCTGCCATGAATCTGACACACTTGAATGAAGTTATGAAACCATTACATTAAACTTTTAAGTTATGTCTTCAACTTTTTGTAACGATTTAAAAAAGGCTAAGTCTTGATATTTTACTTTAATATAATATCCTTAAACTCCAGGGGTCTACTCTTTCTAATTTAAAGTGATTTTGTCTCTTAGTAGCAGGATTTCTGCAAGCTAGTTTTAACCGTTAGAGACTGTGATTCACTTGTTAGCAGTTAACGGTCAAATTTAACGTAACGTAAAAAAACGCCGGTTATTTACCTGAGAAAAACGACATAAGCCCTCTCATTTTGGCATAGGTCAGCGGCTGGTCTTGAGTCACGGTCATTTTGACGACTGTCTGGAAGATTTGGTAAAGGTTAGACAGAGGAGAGAGCAGTGGGCTGACAGTGAAGGCGGACTGTCCAGCAGCAGAGACGCACCGCTTGTCCCGAACTTTCACAGTGTAGCAGCTCAGTTTAAAGACCAATGACGTATGAGTAGTGCTGCGTTTAAGGACCCTCAGATGTGTCGGCTATAAAAGCGTGCGCTAATGAGCGACCATAAGTGATTTTAAAGTGATTGTAGTTACATTAAATCCTGATTGACTGAATCGATTTCATGGCTGCAGCAGAGACACAAAATATAAATTCGTAGGCTGTATGGTGAGGTAATGATACATCTTTTTAAAATGCGTTTACAGGCGGCAAGAGGAAGAGTAGGCAATGAGTAGCCTAACGAAATATTTCAGGTCCTGGAGAGACGAGCTGCTGTTTGCACTTGAAGGCAGCAGACTGGGCTCGTGCCCCATTGACAAAGAGAAGTGCTCACGAGGTCACTACCCTGCAGCCACGCGCTCAGTGAAGTGACCCACTTGACGTCCCTATCGAAAGACCTGTCCTTTCTTTCTTTCTTTCTTTCTTTCTTTCTTTCTCTCTGCCCTTCCTTGATTTCTCTTTCCTTCCTTCCTTTCTTTCTTTCTTTCTTTCTGCCCTTCCTTAATTTCTTTCTTTCTTTCCTTCTTTCATCTCTTCCTTCATTTCTTTCTTTCTTTCTGCCCTTCCTTAATTTCTTTCTTTCTTTCCTTCTTTCATTTCTTCATTCATTTCTTTCTTTCTTTCTGCCCTTCCTTCATTTCTTTCCTTCCTTCCTTCATTTCTTTCTTTCTTTAATTCCTTGATTTCTTTCTTTCGTCATTCTTTCCCTCCTACCTTCCTCCTTTCCTCCCTCCCCTCCCTCTTTCTTTCTTTCTTTCTTTCTTTCTGTATTTCTCTTTCTTCTTTCTTTCTTTCTTTCTTTCTTAATTCTTTTCTTTCCTCATTCTTTTCTTCCTTCCTTCCTCCCGTTCTTTCCTTCCTCCCTCTTTCTTTCTTCGTTCTTTTCTTCCTCTCCTCCTTCCTTTCTTCCTCCTTTCCTTCCTTCCTCCCTCTTTCTTTTCTTCCTCATTCTTTTCTTCCTTCCCTCCTTCTTTCCTTCCTCCCCTTCCTTTCTCTCTTTCTTTCATTCATTCTTTCTTTCTTTCTTCATCACACTCAGTTGTCAGGAGCACTGTATGCTATGAGTGGGAGGGATACTGACAATGGGACAAGTACTGAGTTAATGTGTGTGTGTGTGTGTGTGTGTATGAGAGCCAAACATGTAGCCTACAGCACAAAGTATAATCAACAAATCATCCTCACTGACCTACATGGTTGAAGGCACGGTGTGGAGGATGAAAGCACATGTGCAGATCAGGTATTACTTTTATATGCCCAGCACACTTTTGAGCCTAAAGATAGTTAATGGGTCATGGAAACTATAGCCTACGTGTGCAATGTCACTACAGCATTCCAGTATATGACAACTCTGTCTTCTTGTCTCATGTGACAGGGTCTGTCCACACCGCCACAGACCCAATTTTATGCTTGTGATATATGATCAGTATACTGTTGCATACAGCTATAGTGGCTGGTTGTTTTATCAGTGTATAGATACTCCAGTCATTCACGGTCACTGTTAAATCCAAATGTTCCTGCTGGGGACTGAATCACATGAGCAGAACTTTATATCAACATGTGATTATATAATAAATGGGAGTAGAAAGAGGAACTATTAAGAGTCTGGCACAGCTCATTGTAAACAAATTCCTCTGAGAGAGAGACAGAGAGGTCGTAAACTTAATCTTGTTGTTGTTCCACCACAGAACTAAAGGTATAGATAATACGCTCACACAGGACACAAACTGGGCTTTGTCACGAGATGAGGCCAAAGGTCAAACAGGAAGTATTGCCTTTAACTGGAATTGAGCAATCGAGGAATACGGCGTGAGGTCAGGATAAGAGGGTGTGAATCAGATAAACGGGACATGAAGTGCAGATACTGAACTAACGTCAAATCTGTCCCTGTGTCTCTGTGTCTAAATTTGGAGCTGCTGAGTCCAGATTTGGGACAGGGTGTCTTACAGGTTACTGTTGCAGAAAGCTGATCTGCAAACAGCAACAGGGGGGAGGTCCCTCTCTGTTACAGTGGTGGCAGGGCGGGGGGAGAGCTCTCCGCCGGTCTCCCCAAAGTGAACTGGTCTCTGCTGGTCTGACCCACCACCCTCAGTCTGACACCTCTTGTCAAGTCACTCTACAGCAGGGGAACTGGCCGCGGCTGGTTTTTGCTTCTGCAGGCATGCAGCAGGTGACAGTGGACAGCAGAGGAGACCCACCAGAGACACAACTGCCCAACACAGGACGGGCACTGTGCGTCAGCTTCAGGCCTGACAGGAAGAAAAGTTGAACAACATTCAAACTCCACGTCTGAATGACACCCAAAGCCCCTTTTAACTTCTGACCTCATTATAGCTCAATTATCACCAGCCCTCACCCTCTCTGTGCTTAATTACCTCATTCAGAAACCAATCTCATTTTCATCCCTTTAACTGTCATTAACTTTTAAATCACTGATGTCTCTGTCACGTCTGTTCTTCTTTTAACTCATGCTTGTGTCCACACAGTCAGATTTGTGGTTGGAATGGGAAATGTTGGTTTCAGACCTGGTTCAGCAGGAAAATCTCGACTTTAAGCTACAGCACACTGAAGCACAAATACATTTCCTGGTTTCTTAAATTTGTGTAGGATAAAGATTACTGCATTTGTTCTGATACTTATTAGATATATATTACAACATGCTTTCTCTCAGCTACATGTCCAAATGATATATTGTAATTACACTCCATTGTACATATTTCTAATTCTTATTTTCTATCCATAAATATTTTTTCCTGTAATTTTTAGCATAATGTATATTTTTGTATATCTCTCAAACTTTCCACAATAGTTTTATATGTTGGAGCATAATACACATATTTTTAAAACAGTTTTATTATTTTATTTACTAGTGTTAAACATTGTAATGTAATACCCATATTTTTTTTTTAATATTTAAAAATATTTTATTTACAAGTGTTAACCATTGTAGCATAATACCCATATTTTTTAATATTTTAACATATTTCTAAATATTTAATTTGCTAGTCTTAAACATTGTAGCATAATACCAATATTTCTTGTAATTTTAAATATATTATGTACTAGTGTTAACCATTGTAATGTAACACTGTAGCATAATGCACATATTTTTAATATTTTAAAATATTATACTTATTAGTGTTGAACATTGTAGTATAATGCACACATTTTTAATATTTTTAAATATTTTACTCACTAGTGATAGACATTGTAGCGTAATGCACATATTTTTAAATATTTTATTTACTAGTGTTAAAGATTGTTGCATATGACAAATGCTTTTATATTTATTATTAATACATTCATATAAATATCTAGTTCAAAAGCTACTGAAGCATTAATGCAACAATAATTCTGCAATATAACATGCAGCAGTGTAAAACTCACAGGGACCATGTTTCTGCAATGAGTACTTTTACTTTTAATGGTGAAAGTATACATTTCCATCATTATGTTTTTGTATTAATACTTAGGCAGTATTTTCAAAACAGGACTTTTACATGTCTGGAATATTTTACACTATGTCTCCATAAATAAAGGCTGTGAATACTTCATCCACCACTAATTTTACAACATTAAAATTGTTTTTATTAAATTTTATTTTAGGCATAAGTGTGCTCTATATGTTAGGGGTAAATAGAAATAAATTACCTTAACAAATGCTTTTATAGTGTTCTGTCAAGGTGTTACAGAGTCTCTGAGTTACTGGGAGGTTTTTAATTATTACATATATTACATATTACAGTGTGAGTTCACACATGACAGCAGCAGTCCTTCATCTGTCCTGTAGATGGAGACAGCAAACCAGAGGACTTGGTGAAGAAGACTTGACTCCTTTATTTTTCCTCTCTTTCTGGAGGAATGTGTGTCTTTATATCAGCAGACTACTCCCTTTGAGTAACAGCAGAACAGCAGATGATTCGACAATGAGTTGATCAATAGACTATGAATCAACAGTTATGTTTGACAGTGACAACCTCAAGTTCCAGTTTCCCCAGTTTAACATCATTATAAAAAATAACAAATAATTGGAGAAATAAATGACAGATTAATCAATGATGAAATTAACAGTTACTTGCATCTCTTAAAATAACAACAATTACAACTATCTTAGCTCATTTAATCAGCTCTGTAGACTTAAGACTTGAGATATTTGTACTTATCTTAAATATTTTCCTTTACTTTCACTTTATACTTTTTTAATTCAAGGGCAAACATTGTAATCTTTACTCCAGTATCATTATCTGACAACTTTAATCAGTAGTTACTTTGCAAATGAAGATTTTAACACTCAAAACAGGGTAAGTATGATCCTTTATTATAGATTAGATTAAAGTAAGCAACAAGTACAGCTGAACAATTAGCTGATTAATCGATTAGTTGATTGACAAAAAAGTAATCGGAAAAACATTTTATAATTCCAGCTTCTCAAATATGAGAATTTAGTCCTTTTCCTTTTAATTACTGTAATAATTTAAATCTACTTTCAATGGGTGGACAAAACACGCATCACTTTGGGCTCAGGGGAATTGTCACGGCCATTTATTTGGATCTTTTCTGATCTTTTTAAACCAAACAATCAATCCATATTGATATAATAGCCAAGTTTAATAGTATAATAATGTAGATAGATAGATAGATAGATAGATAGTATTTTTACAGTGTGGTATTTGTAGTTTTATTTAAGTAAAGGGTCTGTTTTGGTTTATACTGCTCTTTACACTATTTCCTATGCTTTGCGCGCGCGCCCCCCGGAACGCGCATCCCAGCCGGGAGCGCGCGCGGCGAAGGGGCGGGGCCGCGCGGAGTCAGCGCAGCCAGGGATGAGAAACTTGTCCCGGATATTTACCTAACTCTACCTGGCTCTTCCGACGCGCCCCGTCCCGAGGTTTCCACCGCGGACTGTCTGAGGACCATGAACCGTCTCTGAAGCGGGACGACCGAGGTACACATATCTTTATTTTGTCTTTTAAACC